AGGAGTTCTGACCAATCAACACACAGAAGATTGAGTTTGTTGCACAAAAGTGGGTATTTATAGATGGAACCGATGGATTTAAAAAGAACAAACAAAAAAAATAATTAAGAGGGATACTAAAATGCCCACACCTTCATCCTTTGGGAAAACTAGTTTCTTTTCAGCTAAATAGGAGTCGTTTTAGTTTTAGTTGGACATTGAAATCTATGGGAAACATTTCTTAGACAGCTATGTGCATTTGAACTCCTGTGCCACAGCTGGCCCCTTGCCGATGCTGGAGATGGGTTTAAGCTAGCAAAACACTATCCAGATAATATTATACATCTGTGTCCTGGATGCAGGGATAGCTTCTATGATGTATTGCCCATAGTGTAGTGTCTAACAGGTTAAAACATCGGGGCCTGCTATCATAACTATTTCCTTTTTAGTTAAAGTCTCTGAGATGCTCCAAGAAAAGGAAGTGCAGAAGGACTAAGGGGAGCGTGGGAATCAGCGAAGGAGGAAGGAGAGAGATTCCTGGGGTCCTGGGGAAATTTGGTCCTTGTATTAATAGACTCTGGTCTCTTTGAAATTTTATTAGCCATAAAGTTGACAGTATGTTGTGCAAGTGACAGGGCATTCTTAGGCTGTTCAGTGCCCAAACAAATCAAATACGATGTTTATTTTTCCCTTATAAAGTTATCAAGCTGACACATTGCCCGGGCAGGTGCCATGTTCAAATTGACCAAGCCTTTTTCTGTCACCTACTGTACTTCCACTTAATGCTTTCAGAGATATGAGGTTCAAGAACTTTAAATAACCTTTGAGTTGCATAAAATGAAGATGAAAATACATGTATTTGTCCCACAGAATACAAAGCCAATTAAAGAAATGCTAAAATACTATGCATAACATCTATTTGATCGAATTAATATCATAAGAATCTCTTTGTCATTTCTATCGAGAACTGTACTTTGTGATGAGAATCTTGGGCATGAAGTGGACTTGATTTATTTTGTTTTTGCCAGCAGTGGTCAGTGTGTTTAAGAAAGTCGGACCTGCGCTGTCCTTTTAGCGCTCTCTTGATTTTTATGGTTCCTGCGCTTTCAGGAAATGACCCTTTATAGTGTCAACACAGTAAAAGTTTTGTTTTGATGGGAGGAGTTGCTTGTGTGTTACTACCGGTGCACCTAAAGAAAAGCCGATGAGCTTAATAGTCCTTTTTCCAAACTTTCACGTAGCTGTGAACTCCGTGACCCTCTTTGTCAACAGTCTCCGAGCTCTCTGCGTTTGTAGGTGAAGCATCCTCCTTCACCGCAGGAACATGTGCGCTTCTGTACGTGCGGATACAGGTGCACTCAGGGATGCATTAGGACACCATTCATGTTTCTCAATGCTCTCAATGCTACATACAGACCCCACATCCCCACGACACATAAAGACCTCACCAGCTCAATAGTCACGCAAATAGATGCAGACTCTTAAAGCTGAAGTACCTAACCACGTAAACCACAAAATGTGAACTATGAAATCATGCAACTAGTTCCTTGTTCTCAAAACTGTTTCTTTCACCAGTTCTAGCGTAATGTGTTGTTGGCATCCATCACATCTTTAGATCTGCCTTTTCACTCAGCCAATCCCCTCTCAGTAAATGTAAAAGTTGTTTACTAATTAGATGAAGTCAGCATGTTGTGGTCGGATTTATTCATGTTTTTTTCTTTTTTTCAAAACCCTTTTCTATGGGGATGAACAAAAATGTATTCATGAATCCAAAGAAAGGGTGCACCAGCTTTAAAGGGTGGAGTTATTATCTAATGGCCTTTTTCAGATGCATTAACCAGAAACTGCAATAATTGCAGTATTGAAGTTCCCAGAAATTGATAGTATTACAGTTTCTGGGAACTTCTGGGAACAATCTTGGATATTATCAGTTAATTTGATATTGAGATTGTGGTGACAAGAGGTTGTGCATCAATGCCTTTAATAATGTTGTTGAATGTTGAATTCCAAGACTTAATATGCTGTTTGTACTTTTCCAAGTAGGGGTCCAAGGATCTTTTCAACAAAAAAATTCCCATCAGATGGCCTTTCTTTTTCCATACATTACATTATTACTATTACAGCTGCGGTATCTGAGGTTTAGCAGTAATTAGGCTTTTCAATCTATGCGGCTCGTCCTTATTGGGTATGCAAAACATTTTTTATGAACATTTTGCCGCAGTGATCTATTGACCACAAAACAGTTGCTTTGACTATATAACTTTGGGGGGTATACTAATAGACTCGGTACCTCAACTTTAAGGTTTCTGTGCACAGAACCTGCTGGTCTTTTGATGACTGCTAGGATCAGAGTTTCCTTACAAATCAGTTATAACTGTTGTGATAGACGGCTAGATCAAGACAACTATTATCTTTCTCAAGTAATAAAATCCGACCACCAATACGTACTTTACCGGAAAAGGCTGTTTTGTTCTGTACTTCTGTGTAACAGGTTAAACCTCGTACACTCTATTTCTCTTCCTTGAACTCGGTGACCATTGTGATGTAGCACCTTACCACGTACAGTGCAGAGCTGGTGCTAGTACTTTAAGTGCTGCACTACGATATAAATAGATGTACTTTTTCCATGAAATTTCATCGTAATTAGAGACCAGGAAGCAAGCATGGACCCTGTCAACCCCCACTGCGGCACCCACGTACCTTGAGTGAATACTAAGAAGCCACTCTGGCTTTGGTCCAGTTCAGTATGTACCACGTGAACTACGGCCTTCAAAGGCACAGAGAGGGTGACCGGGTTCGAGGTGCAACCGGGAATGCTGTTTGAAGTGCTGCTTCTGTCAAAGACACAAATGGCACTTTTGATCCTGTGGGATCATGAAGACGCCACAGGCGAAAAAGAGATACACTCGCTGGCTGCACAGGGAGGAAGTGAGGAGGCTGAAGCAGATAAAACTACTGCAGCTGATGAGGAGAGGGACCCTGCTGCAGCATGGCACACACACGCTCCACTGGTGAAGACTAGAGCTGGGGTGACAATGAATAGGATCATTTAAAACATCTTGTGATAACAATAAACACATTTTTATTACTGATAATGCATCTAAGTGAAAAGATCTGATCATCACACTTATTTTGTCATTGAATTCAGTCTAACGCTGATGAAAACATCCAGAGTTTAAGAGCTGAATGTTCTGCAAGTTTTGCACTCAGTGATGCACTCTCTGACTGAAACACATAATGTATAAGATTATCTAAAAAAAAAAATACAAGGCACGAGGATAGATGTTTCAGTGTAGACAGTAGTGAAAATGTTCTCTTAAAAGCCAATACAAATAAAATGTGTGGAAACAAACAATATTATATAAAGTAACCAATGAGTCTAATTTGCATGATGTAATGCTGGATTATTTTGGTCCTGTGTTTTGCCAGTAGGTTGGCAGACCTGTCCCTCCAATTATGTAAAAGAACTGGTGTTCAAATCAGTAAATTAACCTTATGTTAACAAATCATGCCAATTTAAGAAGTTATGATGTTAAAGATTTTACAGACAACACGGCAACCAATGACACAATAGCTCATCTTTGTCCGCTGGTGGACATAAAGCCCAGATTATTTGCAGTGCGTTTCATGGTCCGCCTTGTGCAGAATATATTACGTGTGTAAATGTTGTTGAACCCTGCTATTCCCCACGCAAAGGTCACACACTCCCCTCGACCCTAAGTGATTCTGCGTCTTTGTATACTCGTGGAGGGAAAAAAACGAGCTGCTCCTATAAACTCCACATTTAAAAGGCAAGTGCGGCCGAGGGGGGCCGCTGCATGAGGCGAACAATGGCAGCTTTTTGGACACACTTTTTCTCACTGCGATGAACAGCAGGGAAACCGGTAGAGCCTCGTATAAAGGAGAGGCCACAGCTGCCGAGGCCCAACAGTATTTTCTAAAATGTCTCCGAAGGGGGCTGGTTTATCCTTGTGTCATTATAGGGAACCATTGTCGCGTGTGCAGATAAGAAAGAAATATTCAAAAGACATCGAATCTATTGATAACGTCACTTTTATGCACTCGGTTAGAATTTATATTGAAAACCCCTACACATGCAATGGTAGCCAAAGTACTTTTATGTCCAATTAGGTAACAGGCAACCCAACACAGCGCTAACAGGTTGAATGAGTGACAGTGTGAGGTTTTTTTTTCTGTTTCTCTTTTTCAGCAGCGCGCACCGGGAGCCGTGCGTCACTCGCTCAAAGCCAAGTTTGATGCGTCACGAAAGCTGTCCCTTCTTTTTTGTACAGTCATAAAATTTCACGCTTAGTTACCCCAGAAACAATTACCTTCCCAACTGTAAAGTGAAAACTACAAATTATGAGGCGCCTTTTATCACCATGAGTCCATTCAATTGCTTTTCCATGGCAACCTGAGGTCCTCGTGCTGAGCGAGCAATTTCTCAGGTATTCTGATGGAAAAGGTAAGTTTTCCTAACGTAGAATATACTGGGTCAATACTTATCATGTGCATAGCAAACATACAACAGATTTTAAAATCAAATGTATGATTTGAGATATGGCACAAAAAAGTCATTGTAATTGTGTTCAGAGCTATATAGTCTATAATCAATAGATTTCCAAAAATGTAAAATTAGTCGCGACTAAACGTCCACTTGTGGCACCCTGGTACCTGGTGCTGAAGGGTCGAGGCGGACCTTTCATTGACAGCTTTGGCCCTACACTCGTTTCTTAATATAAGAGAACCTTTAGTCGTCCCACAGTATGGACATTTCGATTATTGGTTGTGATTTAATTGACCTTACTGTATTCTAATAGTGATAAACTCCAGAGACAGTACCAACAATAAGAGTTTTTGAGTACACAATCTCTCAGTGACAGCACTGGTAAGCTCTCACTTGTGTTTTTGACAGTGTTTAAACTCAAAGGGCATTCAAGCTCTCATGCTGACTTTTGGACAACATATGCAACGGATTTGACTACAACTTTGGGACAGTTGTGGTGCGTAAAGGTACTCACGCTCGGATGCCATTGTGATGACTGACTCCGTGGTGGCATGGTACTCGTCCTCCTCCATGAACTCATCCTGGGAGGACGCGTCCCCCTGGAAGTCATGATGGTCCAGGAGCTGCTGCAGCGGCGGTGCTTTGGGCAGCAGCTGATTGACCACTTCGCGGCTGATGTTGGGGGCTTGCTTTAGACGCAGTTTGCTCAGGATTTGTGACTTGATGGTCTCCAGTCTTAGCACTTTGCTCTGTTCCCTCCACACACACGCAGAGCACTCGTGAGCGCCTGCGTCCTCATCCAGCAGAGACAATCCGGCGTCCGTTGGAGCCTCGCTGGATGCAGGCAGCAGCAGATTGGGCTCATCGCTCCCGGACTGGCCCAAAGACACGAGCACCAATACGCACAATAAGAAGTTGTACTGCTGCATGTTGACGCGCGCAGCTCAGCCAGTGCAACTTTTCACCTTTTGTTAGTGTGTCTTTTAGCGCTGTAGGTCGTTAAATATCCCTTGTCCTGGACGTGTGCCTTATCCTACAAGAGGCAGCAAGCAAGTGACAAATGTATTCCTGCACGATGGTCTTGTTCTTGCACGTTTTTGTTGTCAATGATCCAAAAAAGTACGTCCCACTTTGTTTGATGCACTCTGTAATCTCTCGTGAACATGTGGTTGGTTTTCTGTACAATTTAGTCCGCGGTGGGTGTTGTGGATATTGGAGAAGTGTCACTGAAAAATGTGCAAGTGCGGTCAAAAAGGGGGCTCTTTATATATCTCAGCTGCCCCGTGTCGTAATCCGTCTCCATTGGCTAAGATGGCAACAAAAGGCTTTTAGGTCGGTCACCAAGTCAAGAGGGACAAGAGCGAAGGGAGGGAGCGCGTACTGTTCGGAGCGGAGAAATGTTTTTACAGTACACAAGCAATCTCCATTAGAGGTATAGCCCAATTAGGCTTTTATGATAATTACATACATTTCAGGCAATGGCTCCCTGCAGGTGAAGTGGTCTTAACATGAATGTGGAGTGGCAGGGGGTCTTTGGTGACTACAGTTGTACCGTCATGTATTCTCCATAATTTGCCATTATATCCAACACTAACTCCGAATCCAATACTGTAAACACGTCTATTAATAATGCAATTATGCCTTACATTATGAAAAAGTGGTCAAATGCTATTCAAATTCACTCAAGTTGGATATAAACTTTTTCTTCCCTTATTATTGATTGCTATTTGTTAAATTAAGGATTCGATAACGCCACTTGAGACACAGATATAAGTCAAAGCTATGTTTTTATTGTAAGTTTTATTGTTTTTTTTAAGCACTAAATCATAGGTGCAGTCATCACTATAAATTGTGCGTTTATTTTGACAATACTGGTGTAAAGATGAAGTGTTGATAGTTGTAGAATGGGGCTCCTTGAGCATCACTGACTCACTAGTGCCACCTGCTGGCTTTAAGGAGTTCAGCCATTTACATGAACATAATATGACCACGAATATATTTGATTTTATTATAGGTTAGGGACATGATGGGTCGTTTTTTCTTCATTGTTCGTTTTTATATTTTATTATTGTAAGCAAGACATGCCACAGGTTGTAGTTTAAAATGAGTGGCAAGCTTTAAATTGTTGGACAAAGACCAACTGTGCATTTATTGGATGTTACATAAATTGAAATGAAAGAACAGTACAGGTCACAGGTCTTTGTCGGAAAATCATACTTATTTAATGCAGTGATAATAAACTTAATAAGCCTATATGCTACGATAGCTAAAGTCATTCTATACTCTAGTAAGATAAGATAGGAGATCAGTGTTGCATCACAAGTTTCAGAATTGTAAAGACACACAACACAAGCTCAGTGAATATTAAATAGAGCAAAACGTACTAATAAAAACAAACTGAAATCTCTATTTTTGGAAAAATAAAGAAACAAACTGTATTGTATAGTGCAAAGAAATTTATATTTGAGAATGTATTCATGAGACGAATACTGGCATTTGATACTACTGTTCATGTTAGCAGCAAGTGATACTACTGTACATGTTAGCGGCATGAGATACTACTGTACATGTTAGCAGCATGTGATACTACTGTACATGTTAGCAGCATACTACTGTACATGTTAGCGGCATGAGATACTACTGTACATGTTAGCAGCATACTACTGTACATGTTAGCGGCATGAGATACTACTGTACATGTTAGCAGCAAGTGATACTACTGTACATGTTAGCGGCATGAGATACTACTGTACATGTTAGCAGCAAGTGATACTACTTTACATGTTAGCGGCATGAGATACTACTGTACATGTTAGCAGCATGTGATACTACTGAACATGTTAGCAGCAAGTGATACTACTGTACATGTTAGCGGCTTGTGATACTACTGTACATGTTAACAGCATACTACTGTACATGTTAGCAGCATGTGATACTACTGTACATGTTAGCAGCATGAGATACTACTGTACATGTTAGCGGCTTGTGATACTACTGTACATGTTAACAGCATACTACTGTACATGTTAGCGGCTTGTGATACTACTGTACGTGTTAGCAGCATGTGATACTACTGTACATGTTAGCAGCATGTGATACTACTGTACACGTTAGCAGCATGTGATACTACTGTACACGTTAGCAGCATGTGATACTACTGTACATGTTAGCAGCATGTGATACTACTGTACATGTTAGCAGCATGTGATACTACTGTACATGTTAGCAGCATGAGATACTACTGTACATGTTAGCAGCATGAGATACTACTGTACATGTTAGCAGCATGTGATACTACTGTACATGTTAACATGTACAGTAGTATGCTGCTAACAGCATGTGATACTACTGTACATGTTAGCAGCATGTGATACTACTGTACATGTTAGCAGCATGTGATACTACTGTACATGTTAGCGGCATGTGATACTACTGTACATGTTAGCAGCATGTGATACTACTGTACACGTTAGCAGCATGTGATACTACTGTACATGTTAGCAGCATGTGATACTACTGTACATGTTAGCAGCATACTACTGTACATGTTAGCAGCATGAGATACTACTGTACATGTTAGCAGCATGTGATACTACTGTACATGTTAGCAGCATGTGATACTACTGTACATGTTAGCAGCATGTGATACTACTGTACATGTTAGCGGCATGTGATACTACTGTACATGTTAGCAGCATGTGATACTACTGTACATGTTAGCAGCATGTGATACTACTGTACATGTTAGCAGCATGTGATACTACTGTACATGTTAGCGGCATGAGATACTACTTTACATGTTAGCAGCATGTGATACTACTGAACATGTTAGCAGCATGTGATACTACTGTACATGTCAGCAGCATGTGATACTACTGTACATGTTAGCAGCATGTGATACTACTGTACATGTTAGCAGCATGTGATACTACTGTACATGTTAGCAGCATGTGATACTACTGTACATGTTAGCAGCATGTGATACTACTGTACATGTTAGCAGCATGTGATACTACTGTACATGTTAGCAGCATGTGATACTACTGTACATGTTAGCAGCATGAGATACTACTGTACATGTTAGCAGCATGTGATACTACTGTACATGTTAGCGGCATGAGATACTACTGTACACGTTAGCAGCATGTGATACTACTGTACATGTCAGCAGCATGTGATACTACTGTACATGTTAGCAGCATGTGATACTACTGTACATGTTAACATGTACAGTAGTATGCTGCTAACAGCATGTGATACTACTGTACATGTTAGCAGCATGTGATACTACTGTACATGTTAGCAGCATGTGATACTACTGTACATGTTAGCAGCATGTGATACTACTTTACATGTTAGCAGCATACTACTGTACATGTTAGCAGCATGTGATACTACTGTACATGTTAGCAGCATACTACTGTACATGTTAACAGCATGTGATACTACTGTACATGTTAGCAGCATACTACTGTACATGTTAACAGCATGTGATACTACACCATAAGGCTAAAAGTGACAAAGTAAAGTGAGTGTAGATACTACATGTGGCCCCATATTCACATTCTGACATTTCTTGGGCATTATTGCACTGATGTAATGTTATCTCAGGTCAACTGTGTATGTATGTGTAATATACATACACGTTGTGATGTGTCTCTATGTTTATCCTGGTAATTTAGCCCAACTTCGTTCCAGGTTAAATCACTGTCATGATCTCTGACCTGTATCTATGGACAAACTGTGTAGGCGGAGTCTTTACGCTCGTGTTTGAGGTTTGGTCCCCGCGGCTCTCCGTACTTCAGGCCTGGGTGTTGGCAGCTGCGCAGGAACCAAACAGACCAGTGTTTATGCCACAGTCTGTACCAGTGCTGATCACGTAAAAACGACAATATAACAACTCAAAATGCTCTCGGCCACGCGTGACAGTGGCTCCCCAAAGAAACGAGCCTTTTCCCGCGGGATGAGTGAGGAAGAGTCCTTGCGGAGCTTCATGAAGGAGGTATTATGGATGTATCTGGGTTGCTAACAAGGATAAAGACGTGATTTTTCCAGCTCTTGGGTAACATGTAATTACTCATCAAGTCCTCGTCATCAAGTGTTACTAAAACCTATGCGTTTGTGTCAAAGGAGCTTTAAGAATGTAGCTTTAGTGCTAGTTTGTTTACACGACTTCCTCATTTTGTGTTCTGTTCAGATTCTATCAACATTATACGTGGTTACTGTTTTCAGGCTGAGAGTTCTTCCAGACGTTTGACCAGGAGTGACAGCCGAGCAGGGACGCTGAAGAAGAAGACAGATAGCCAGGTATAAAATGTTATTTCTATTTTACTTCGTACGACATAACTAACATCTGTTTGAGGTAATGTCAGAGAAGAGCAGGAGAAGGTAATGTCAGAGAAGAGCCCAGTACTTTTAACATCTGTTTGTTTTTGTTAAGCACTTTGAGTTGCCTTGTGTATGAACTGTACTATACAATTCTAATCTATTCTAATCTGACAGGTTTGTTTTTTTCCCAACATACATTTTATTGGTGTGAATGTTAGGTACAGCTATAATTTAAGAAACTCTTAAGTAGATTGAGTAGATAATATTATTGCAGTGGTAAACTTAAATGACCCGTGTGTCCTGTGACATTGATTATGATGCTGTTTGTTTTTCATTGGTCTCATGAATTGTTTATATTTTTATGAATGAGTGTGTTTGAGCAAGGTGTTGTTTTCCTCCTCTAGACTGAACAAGAGATCTTCATGGGACTGCCAGAAATGGTAATTTATTTTTCTTTATGTGCAATTAGGGCTGGGCAATAAATCGAATTTAAGCAATTAATCGTCTTTTGAAAAAATCTAATTAGTGAAAAAAGTGAAAATCGTGAAATCGAATGAAGGGTATTGTGAGAGTTCCAGCAGCACATGAATTATACTTGCAATATCAGCACAGTCTGTACAAGACTTTTATATTACGTATTGGGAGAAACAAATGAATAACAGTTTTGAATCTTGAATATTGAGCGGAAAGATCAAAAAAAAATTTTAGGGCAAAGTCTGTCTTTGGTGACTTTAATGAAAATCGATTTTAAAATTGAAACCGTCCGAAGCAGGAAATAAAATCGAGATGTTACTTTTTTGCCATATCGCCCAGCCCTACGTGCAATCAGTTTTTGTATTGTGTTGTGAGTGGTTCTGCATGTCATGAGGGCCAATATGCTCTAGACTTGCTCCAACAACAATGACCTCTTCACAATCCAATTTTGGTTCAGTATGTCGGAATAGATAGCTCAACAACTTGCAACATTAAATCTTCGTAATATTATACCATTATATTTATAACATAACATTAAGATAATATAAGATGTACTTTATTAATCTCACACAGGAGAAATTTACATGTCACACTGGCAAGGATATGAACACTCAAGAATTGTGCAAAAAGTAAGAAATGTGCAGCATGTTAATGCAGGATATATTGTGTACAAAAAAAGTCAATCAAGAAAGAAGTGTCAATAGTAGTGCAGGTTTCTTTTCAGTCATAGTGCAGTGACTTAAAGTGACTTATTGTAGAGTCTGACAGCGGTGGGGATAAAGGCCCTGCAGTAGCGCTCCTTCTTGCACTGAGGGTGCCTCAGTCTTCCACTGAAGGAGCTCCTCAGCTCCTCTACAGTCCTGTGCAGTTCTATGTTGTATATTTGTCCTTGTGACAGACAGATATACTGTTTATTTAAACCAGGGTTGCTTGTATATGTGTATTGTTAAGGCAGCCTGGCATTCAGGATACCGCCTTTCTATATACCGTCGATTCTATATATTATCATACACGTGTTTTGTAAAGCCCCTTGTGAACAGCGCACTTATGCACTTCTTCATAAACGCAGATACCGTGCGCTCGGGCCGCTTTCATTCTCCGCAGAATTTACACACGGCCATGGGCTGCCTCTTTACTTTTATGAGTACATGTTTAAACTAATAAATTACTTAAACAAAAATATATTAACTAATTTATTTTCCTGCCAACAAAATGTGAATGAAAACGGCCATTATTTATGAATTACATGAAGTGAACCAATCTATGCTGATATTCTGAATCAGTAGATATTTGGAAGCATAATCTGGTAGATAAAGTTCAGTAGTTACTGTAGGTCTTGGTGTTGAGGGGTGTTCATGCAATGTACCAATGAGTTAAGCGATAAATATAATGTCACGAGGCTTTTGTTTGGGATATTTAGTGTGGGACAAAAAAAATGATTGAAAAGTGGTGTGAAAAGCTGGCCCAGCGCATACTGCCAACACAGGTATTAAAATAAAGTATGTCTAGTCCCCTGCTCAATAGTGACTGCAGAGAGAAGCAGGCAAACTGATAAAAAATTGAATGAAAAGGTTATACCCCTTTTTTATTTAAATGTTCTATTTACTTTTAGTTATGTTTATCAGCATAAAACATTATTTTAGGAAACACTTGGTTATGTGCTTCGAAGATGTAAAACTTATCAACCACATCAATGTCATGACTTGTGAAAGATAGTTATGAAATCTCCGTAAAACAATGCGTTGCTTCCACAGCGCAAATCCTCAGAATACACATAGAACTGTACAGTATATTCCCCATTGCACTGACATGACGCCCTTTTCTGTAATCGTTTTATTCTACACTCTCTACATTCACCTACACTTCTATACGGCTCATCGTTCCTGTCATACGAGTCCACATAGATCGGCCCACTGTTGGCTCTTCGCTGGACCGCCCACTCTCTGCTTTGGCTCCGTGCTCTCCGTGCCCACACTGATCTGTGCGTTGTTTGTTTTTATAGCTGGAGCTTCAGGCCAGCTACGAGGAGGCCGTGACGGAGCTGCGTGGGCTGGAGGTGGAGCGGGACACGCTTCTGTTCCAGGTGGACGTGCTGCAGGACACTCTGGAGGGAGTGGAGGAGCTGTTGGCAGAGGGCCAGAGAGAGACGGGGCAGGCTAACGCTGTAAGTGCACCAAAACACCAGGGATCATGATAACGGCAAGGTCTGCAGTAGTATCATTTGGGCCACTGCCTGACATTCAAAGTAAAAATATTTCAGAAATGTATGTAAATGAGCTGGTTATCTATACTTGAATTATGAGTACTGCTTCTACCACAATTAACATTTAAAGCTCCAATGTTTTATCCTGTATGAGAAGTAAATATACACATCTGTAAATACGCTCCCCCCCCATTATCTATTATCATAAATAATAGACTCTACTCGATGTGTACAATCTGAGTGCTCTTTTTTCCTTCTTTCTCTGCTTTAATGTGCGCAACAACGACACTGAAATTTCTCCACAGTGAGATGAATAAAGGAATGTCTTATTTTATCAATCCAACTTCATACAGAAACTGCTTCTACGTTAATCAAAAATCAATCCCACAAACTCAAACCCTCAGTTGTTCTACCCAGAGTACAACAAGGTTCTTTTGGTCTTCTGATAGAGTCTTTAGTGTTGAAAAAAAACAGTCAAACAACAGATCTTCTTCCTGCCTCTGGTGATAGGAAGACGACGCCAAAAAACGGTGTAAAACCACTGACAAGACATTTCTAAGGAAAACTGTCTGGTACTAAAAAGAATACCAGATACTCAAGAACCAACTTGTTACAGGTCCTACCAATAAACTGTAGAAAGAGTGGAGAAACTGAGTGCTTGCCTTAATGCGGAAGAAGCCAATTAGCGCTTGCTCGAACAGGAACCACGGGCAGGAATCCGGAGCCAAATCAGTGGGAGCAATGACCTAACAACTGAATGGTCAATCCGGAGCGGCACTGGCTTGACCTACTCGCTACCTAAAGCCGAATTCAGGGGCAGATGGCACATGATTTTGGGTCATATCTGGATTTACAAAGACAGACTCACAGTATAAACACCAGCATCACACAGATTTCTCATCCCTGTGTCACATTCACCGGACTGTGTGAGTTAGCGGGTTAGCATTGTCCATTCTTTTAGACTTTGGTCTTACCCAAGCCCCGGCGATCCAAGATGGCGGCGTATTCAAATGAATGGTTTGTGCTCAGTGGCGCTTTGTGCCGGCATGGGGGCTGAAAGATTAGCGAAAGTCGCCTGGAACTTGCAAAGATCTATGGGAAACTCGCCTGTATTTGGGCATCGTCTGGTCCTCCCGGTTCTGCGCAGTGGATGAACTCCCATAATGTGTTGTGCGAAATATGCATGTGTGGCTGTCATGCACGCGCACAGAGGGGCTCGGCCGCGCTCTGACCAATCAGAACTGCTCATCAGAGCGGGAGTTAGAGCGGGAGCCAGACGGGCAGAGTTTATGGCACTAAAGTGTGGAATTAAAGAAAACCGAAGAATTTAAGAAGAAAAAAAATTCAGGCTGAACTAAACGTGAGTTCTTCAGCTAGTAATACCCTATCCAGTTAATATAATAGATCTATGGTCTTACCCCAAACACAGTTCTCAGTCACGCAAAATAAAACATGAGGCTCAGTACAAGTACATGGCTAAGAAAGGGCCATCCAAGAAGTCATCTGCAACTGGAGGCGATAGTTACCGATCAGACTCTAACCCGCTGTAGATGTTACAAGAGTTGTCAGACCAAATGATGAAAAACATTTAGTCTTTACTGCCATTTACTGATTTAATTGCAGTACAGTTGCAGGTAAGTTATAATTTAGAGTGGATCACTTTAGTTCAACTCCAATTTTAAAGCCTTCCTTCATTTTTGAAAGTGATATTTTTTCCCCAATCTTTGCATTTTCCAAAGTATACATTTGGATAGATTTTCACACGAACAATGTTTTGATACTCTCAGGAGCTGCAGAGAGAGCGAGAGGCCCGTAGGAAGCTGGAGGGAATGGTCAGCACGTTGATGAAAGAAGTGGAGAGGTTGAAAGAGGTAACGTGACACCATACAGTTCATACAGTACATGCATACAGAGGAGCTGGTTATATAACGGTTGGAGAGCGTTCAATATGATTCACGGTGAATGCTGTGGTATTTCCACAAAAACATGCATCACTAACAATACCATCCTTTGAAAAAGTCCCACTGCAGATGGTAACAGCTTGGCTTGGATATCTCGAATCCGTCGCTGATTAAATGGCAATTACCACTGATCATTTAGTAGCAGAGGATGAAAGCAGAACATAACAATTACTGTTCCAAGTAAACAACAAAATAACTGCCTACGATCGCTTTCTCGCTGTGAAAGTGCAGCGGGGACGTGTTTCCTAATCATTGCACACTTACAGTAGTTATATTTGTGTTTGTGTAATATTGTTCAGTACAGAAGAATAGGACTCATCTTTTTCTGCCCAATTCCCCGTTCGTGCTGGCAATTGCCCAAAAAATTTGCAATTTCAAAATGTTGCGTAGCCATTTTTTAGAAGTGAAAACGCTGCCATGTTGCCTGTCCTGCAAAAAAACGTTATGATTATAAATGTAAATATAATATTTACATATGTTATCCATGGGTCACAGCAGTGGTTCCCAACCTGTTTTGCTCTCTACTCCTTGGACACTCCCCAGTCCGTATATGAAGGATAGTACTGATTTATGTTTTTCGTTCAATTAAATTAATATTCTCTTAAGAAAATTATTTTTTTAAACTATAGTAGTCCATATTAACTTCTTACATCAACGCTTGTAAAAACTGAAAATATTTTGAAGTACCGCCAGGTCTGCATACCCCTGGGACCGCCAGGTCTGCATACCCCTTCTCAATGTTCTGTAAACCCAGAGGATGCTTTGGTTGTTTTTTATGATGAGATTACCGTCATTTCCGGACTATTTATCCTGGGGCTTACTCAATGATGCCAATATGTGTTTTTTATTGTGATAACCTTTGGCTGTTGTAAGGGCAGAGTTTATGGACTTATTGTATTGACTCCATCTAGTTTTAGTGGTTAGTAGCAGTGGTATGAAATTTTAAATGTTAGGATTTTCCTTTATACATTTCTTATCCAAACAATATCATCGGTTGTTTGGATAAGAAATGTCACACTCTAATGTGAATTCTAATCTAAACAGCCAATGATTCATAAAGTAGTAAGTAAAATTTAAATGGGTGCCAAAACATTTTCATACCACTGCAGCTGTAGGACACTCAAACAGGTGTAACTATTAGTCCAGAAACTACGGTACTTGGTTCTGTCCTTTTTATCAAAAAATTATGTTAATTTGATGTTATGTTTTAATTTTAGGAAGTAAATAACAACAATCCGGATCCAAACGGGTCCAGAAATCAGAAAGACGAAACCGACATGCCACCAATTGACACAATCAGACCCACGCTGCCCCCTGCTGGTGAGGCCGAGGAGACCGTCGTGCCGAAGGTGCGTCCAGCCGTGAGTATGTCTCCGGTGCGCGCTCCTTCTCTGGCCCTGGACTTGGCATGCGAGGACGGCGTTCTCCTGAGGCCATACGAACACAGTCTCCCGGACGATGAGAAAACGGACTCGGACAGCGTCAGCGCTTACGAAGACGCGCCCGCCGACACCCCTGACAACAACGGGCTCTTTCCAGGAGAGGGCGCCACCGCAGATCTGCCCCACGATTCGGAATACACTGATAAGAATCAACCCGACGCGTGTGTGCTGTCATAGGGGAAGGTATTAGGTTTGTTTGAGGAAGGAAAACTGCCAAAAGTGTATGAGGCTGTTAAGTGATGATTTTCCACTTCCTGGTTCAGGTTATTTGCTCACAACATCTGTCTTCTTAAAGCTGGTGTACCTAACAGTTTGTCCCAACTGAAAGAATCTTGTCAAATATAAAATGCTATAACTTTGGGCTGAGCTATGATTGGTCGAATGTCGGCTGTTTTTAGAGTTTTTATTACATGGTTCAACTTTTTTTGCTGGAAAGTTTGGTACCCCAGCTTTAAATCTTTTATGATGTATCTACCACTTCATCCTGTCTGTTAGCATAACGATAGCTTAAGAGAAGGGAGCTTAAAAAACTCTCGGATGAAGTCAAATGCAATGTAAATGTTTGCCTTTGTTCCTGGAAGTGAGAGACGATGTCACACTTAACACCCCTGTACATTTCACTAGGGGGGAAAACAAAACGCTTTAACAGATTTGTACCTGATTTTTAGGGTCTTAAAACGGTCAAAAACACAAATCGTTCAATTTGCTGTTGTCCAAGCCTTGTCCTTTGCTTAACACAGCTCCCTGGCATTCTAACAATTCACTGCGATGAGTTTATTAGTGTTTTTTAGAAGTCAGAGTGGTAAAACTAACAAGACGAACCACAACATGAGTGCAATGCTAATGTGGCTAATACAGACCATAAGACCCCCTATCGTCAGAATAATATAATATTAAGTCTATTGACTATTTATCACTGAATGACCTGGTTTTACAACATGCACTGGGATTGATCTTAAAATACATTAAGTAAAGCCTTTTTAACGTAGTAACGAATTCCATTATCTTTAAGAGATGCCAAAAACAACCACAAATAAAACTAATGGAAAAGACATATGATTTAAGGGACTATTTTCAAAAAAATAATGTTTTTCTCTATTTTTTTATAGTGGTCCTTATCTTTCACAGATAATGTTTTATCTGTCTTCTATTTTATATTAGCCAAGACTGTTAAAATGTACATGTTATAGTAAGCCATTAGCCAACAATCAATCTCAGGATCCATTTTTAGTTTTTTGTGTTTGTTTGCTATTGTATTGTTCTGAGTCCTTTATGAAGAGATTTTATGTGTGGGATTTCTTTACTTTTACAGACTTCCATCCTTAGGGTGGATCATCTTGGAGCAACCGGTGACCCAAAACAAAAGATTAAATCTGTGTCCAAAACAAGTAAAGCTCCAAAGATATTCAGAAATGAGGGAATTTTCTATGACTATTATGTTCTGAGCAAAGGTTGATTTAGGCCAAAGCACTGGTCCTATCTGAGACGCACACACACACACACACACACATGCTCACACGCAATCGCACACACGTAATCACACACACACAGACCAAGGTTTTTATCAGTCTGACAATCTAGTTCCAAACGCTTTATACAAGTTTGTATGAGACAGTTATACTATTTGTTTGATATGTTTTGACAATGGCTCCAAATATAAATAGTAGCGATATCAATCCTTTGTTTCCACAATACCTTTGCCCTGTACTTCCTTTTTTTGCCAGAAAACATATTTTACACAATACTTTTATATAGATTTTAAATAAGGTTTTTTTTCAAAGGGATTTGTACTTCTCTTTTGTCACTGTTTATCTTTCTATTTTGGTTCTAAGGATTTCTTTGTGTATTTGCACTTTTTAAAATCTAAGGGAGTAACATTGACACAAAAACAAAATACATTCCTAAAGCCCTTAAAAACAGCCAAACGTGGTGAAAATAAGTTTTTGTCCTGCCTTTTTGCACAACTGCAGCGATGATGGTCTTTGCTGTTACTCTTTGTATTCGAGTATCCGTTTTTAAAATGTTTTTATAATACAATTTTCTTAGTCTTAATTTTGTAGCAGTTTGCATGAGCACAGAAGATTGTACGTGGGTCTCAGAGCACGTCTTGAAGTAATAAGTTCTTTATCACTATTTTTGCACGCAGTTGAAACATATCCTTGTTTGTATTTGGTCAATACAATATTATATAGTTTAGGGGTAAATGCTATGTCTGCGCTTTCATTCTCCAACCCGCGGGTGTCAAACCTGTCCTCAAAGAGCCGGTTTTCATTCCAACCAAGTAGGAGCACACCGGATTCCACCCATTTCCTCCAGTGAGTCCAGTCTTAACCTGAAGACTTGAGGAAATGGGTGGAACCAGTTTAATAATAATAATAATAATAATATCAATAGCAAAGCATCAGTTATATTTAGCCCTTTTCAGGACACTCAAAGACGCTTTACATGTTATTATTCTTTCACTCCATACACGGTGGTGATAAACTACTATTGTGGCCACAGCTGCCCTGGGGCACACTGACAGAGTTTGACACCCCTGCTCTAACCTTCATTCTTTCACTCTGGTTCATGAAGCTTGTGTCCTGTTTTTGTATTTGTCTTAAGAAATCCGTAATTGTAACAAGTCTGGATGGGACTAAGGCTGTCATGGTATGAAAGTTATCGTGGATATTCGCCAACACCAGAACTTTCAGAACAGTCAATTTGATGGCGTTTAGTTTTGGAGGTGTAATTTCTCAACTCATGATCCTTTTTGGTCTTCATAACTTTTTACTTTTTCTCTTTCTACCTGCAGCTTTTGTCTGTCATTATTTTTTTTCAGCTTGGTTTTCCACCAGAGAAGAGTGAGTGCTAGTTACCATGGCAATACACTGTTTACTGTCAGTACTAGCATTCAACTTTTCAACACACTTTTACTGTATTTCGATTCATATTCACCAGTTTTAGCGCTAATTAAAAACCTTATAAATTGCTGTGATAAATCCGGACTATAAAATGAGGGGAGCTCAACGTTGCCTTGAAAAGCGTATATATATTTTGACGCATTTTGTCACATTTTGGTTTTATTTTTCCTGTTTTTCACGATTGTCTTACTGCTGAAATCTGCCTGACCTCACGTTTCATATCATGAGTTAATGTATTTTATAATTGTTATTATTTACAATTCACTGGACGTTTGTGCGGTTGTTTTTTATCACTTTATCCAAGCCTCACTTTAATGTGCTGTTTGTAAAATGAATGGAGTTGTAATTAAAACTCAGACATATCAAACCATCGTGGCCCCTGTTTCTGTTATGTTTGATTTGCAACTAGCTGTCCTTTTTGCTTGTTTTTGATTGGTCGACAGAAGTGGTGAAACTACTAGTCTCTGTACTAGTAAAAAGTGTCAGTAAAGGTTTAGTGGCTAGCTTCCAAAAAGGCTCTGGTCTTTAAGGAATTTAAAGCCTTCACTAATTTAAGTAAAAGTAAAAAAGTTTTGGTGGCAAGAAGGTCCGGGCTTCTATTCAACCTCCAGGTAGGACCTCTGCATGGAGTTTGCATGTTCTCCTTGTGTCTGCATGGTTTTCTCTAGGTGCTCCGGTTTCCCCTACTACTAAGTACATGTACAGTGATGGAAGTTCTCCTTTTAAATACATGTAAAAAGCTAATTATACTAATTTACACATTTTAAGTGAATTTAGGAAAGTCACTTTTGACCCCAAAAAAGGTCGTTCAGTTAAAGAATTGAATATGTGTTTAAGAGGAGAACTTCCATCATTGTGACAGCTGCGGGCGTGATCTATAAGCTTGAAATTAATACAAAAGGTGAATAATTATTACTTGATAGATTAATCCCGTACCAGGTCTGGTCTAGTTTAGATTTAAGTAATTCTACAATTGAGCATAAATATTGAACAAACAAACATGGAATAACAAGTACATGAGAAAAGGCCTCAAAAATAAGTTCAGTTCATTCAGTGCTTTATTAAAAGTGCTTTGGTTCTTTGGGTCAAACATGCAGGTATTCATTATGTCGCTTTTTCAATGACAGACAATGGTATGTACATTTTTGAATGGACTTTCTGACTGCTCCTAGCTAAAATATTTCTGCTCTTTTAGCATCTACAAATGGCAGGTTAATAACATTCTTGTCACACATGATGCAAAAATGAATACAAACGTCGGGAATCTAAAAAAGGCCTTTCTCTTTCTTTATCTTGAGCTGTTTCCACTGCGGCAGGCCGTCGAACTCCTCTTTTGTCATCCCAAACATTTCACCAAAGTCAGCGTCAGAGAGATACTTCTGTGACCGCACATGAACACAACATGAGGTCAATACAGAACATGTAATTATGTAAAATAGAATAGAAAATCATGTAAAATAGGATATTTAACTAAAAAATTGAGCCTAAATACTATATTAGTTTTATTATTATAGTGTTGCTCCCCACCTCTGGTAAACACTCCCATTCATTTTACACATACTGTACGGTCTGAGAGAATATAAAGCTGAAATTCTTTTCAACAAACTGCAATTTAAAGCTGATGGGGAACATAACTTTTACCCTGAAAATATCCCAACAGAAAGAGTCCTGTTAAAGTAAAATGTTGTCTACAAATCAGACATTCCATTACATGCTGATTGGCTGAGTGAGTCTGGTCCTCTCTTTTTCACTTTTCTGTCGGAAAAAGCTGATTCTAAAGCCGCGTTCAGACCGGATCATGCGTTGCGTCGGTTTTCAATGCAAAGTCAATGGTGACGCGCGTTCGAGCGTCAAAATGCATGTGCGTCTTGGCACGCACGGACTACTCAGTAGAGACGCACGGACTACTCAGTAGAGACGCACGGACTACTCAGTAGAGACGCACGGACTACTCAGTAGAGACGCACGGACTACTCAGTAGAGACGCACGGACTACTCAGTAGAGACGCACGGACTACTCAGTAGAGACGCACGGACTACTCAGTAGAGACGCACGGACTGCGCGGCAACGTCGAAGGGGAGGTGCAGGAGTGGAAAATCGACGCACGCAGGAGATAAATATTGCTGAACGTTTCCTCGGACGTTCGTCGATCAGAGAGCCGCAAAGTGGTCACGGGGACAGAAGCGGTCTGAGCGAGCAGACTGAACAGACTGTAAACAGCCAAAACAGGAGCCACGCCGCAGGACTAAACCAGGACTAAACCAGGGTTGACAATGGGGGACTGTGTGCTTGCGCAACTGCTTCGAGAGTGTTCGCCGATGCGGAAGTACCGTTTAATAATAAAATAAACGTATGGTGCACCTCCGTGAACACATACTACTGTTATATAAAGTCTCTGGAAGGTCTCTGGACACAGAGACGCTGCAGAGCTGCCTTATTGGAGATTAACTTTACACAAAAAGCCGCTAGCTTAACTCTGTTAGCATCAAAGCCCGCCGGCTACTTCCGCCGCGTGCCAGGACGTTCTGGTGTGAAGACCCCTGCGTCTGAAAACTAGAGAATGTGCGTCTGGTGAGCGAGGCTTCAGCATTCTAGCGTTGGCGGCGTGAACACAGCTTTAGATGTCACAGCAGAGAAAGAATTGATGAATGTGAAAACTAGTGATAGAACCACACTGTTTTGAGCGGCAGGAACTGGTTATATGGATTTTATTACGTAGTTTTTGGGTTTTAAAGTTACATACCCGAGCTTTACCTTATGATATTGGCACACATTACCAAAAAAAGACACTTTGTTTAATTATTCTGACAGAGAAGACATTGACATTCTCCTGTTTTTTGTTTCGCACTACACCCAGTAATTGAGCGATGAACATCAAACCGGCTTAATAATTGGCATTTTTATCAAACAAGATTAAATTCTTTATGATATCTCAAGTACTTTTGATTTTATATAATTTATATATGTATGTATTTTTACCTTTAACACTTTGAGGTTTCATGGAGATGTAAGGTACGATATAAATAAAGTGTATTATTATCAGTATTATTATTATTATTATTATTCTGCCATAGAACAGGACGATGTGATAAAGTACCTCTCTCTTGGACGGGTCGACTCCCTCCGGCAGCTCGTCGGGCTGTTTGTTCACCAGATCATCAAGAGGAAAACAGTCATAGGTTTTTTCCTCTTCGGGGACTTCCTCGGCCTGTTGCTGAGGACAAATGGACGTATTTCTGGGTTAGCTTTAACATGAATAATAACTATATATCTTTTTACACATTTAATGCACAAATACATTCTGTTAAGTAAAGGTAATGTCTGCAACTTCAATTGTATGTAGTGTATGTATTTCATTTTTTTTATAGGAATACATATTTTTTATCATATGACCTTTTAATATCAATTAAATGTAGTATTTTACAAAATAAATATACTTAAAGCAGTCCCTCCCTTTGGATTAAACCTCACAAGTAAGATTTATGGGTAGGAACGAGTTCTTATACCAGTTGAGGATATTTCTCTGCACAGACCGAGCAAGCGAGGTTAATAAATGTTTTGTTATATGACTCTCGTCTGTGTCTTTACCAATGCTTTTGAGATATTTGTGAAATATGTTCATGTCCAACTTGGTTTTGAGTGATACGCGCTGCGGACAGATTGTCATGGTAACGGTCCAAGGAAAGATATCAAATGTGATACGCGCTGTTCGGACCAATTGTCATGGTAACGGCCCGAGATGGGAAAATATCAGACCGGTAATCAGCCAATCAGCGCGCGCGTACGGTCCAAGTCATATAATAAAGATGACTTATTTACTTACTTAATATTCTGTATAGTTCAAGACTAAGATTAAAGGTGCAGTAAGTGATTTTGCTAGCTTAGCCGTTGCACCAACTCGAAACCACTCCCCCTTCCGCTCACCTCTCCACTAAACCAAACATCCAGCATTTTCTTTTTTGTCACAACAGGGAGAGTGGGTGGCAAATGTGAAATTGGAATTTTCTGTTCAGCCATTTTAAGTTTTAGAAAATCCAATAACTCAGGTGCACTCGTGAGAAACAGGAAGAGGGTGAAGGGGGTAAACGCATCCCATTGGTTCGTTGGGGATGAACGAATCCCATTGGTTTATTTAAATCGGTCCGCTCCAAAACATTTTTCATACATTTTTGGAGACTATAGGCATCTGGTAAATTCTATTATGATGAAAACACATGATAGCTTGACTACTTTTAGGTTTTAGGGACGTTTTCCTACTTGACACTTTGCCTCTGGAAACTATCACTGACTGCATCTTTAAGCAATCCTTTATTCGTACCACAGTGAGAAAATTCAATGAACAAAGTGAACAAAAACTCTATATTAAAATGAAATAAAATCTGTAACTTTAGCATAAAAAGAAGCGAGTGTAAAATATAATATAATATAATCTAAACTTTAAATGAAGTCAAATACCTCGACCACGACCGGCTCGGCCTCTTGCCCCAGCTCCTCCTTCAGCTCTTCGTAGCTCTTTCCTTCCTGGACACAAAATGACGTAAAGTAAAATCTTGTTCAGTTATTTGTCTTTTGTTTCACACATTTTCTTACGCTCCACTTTGTCGGGTCCCATCCGGCGAACCATCCCGTGAAGGTTGGGGGTTCAAAGCCCTGTTTGATGAGCACGATGGGGGTGTCAGGGTCCCGGTCTCCTGGGTGAGTGCGGAGGTATTCCTGACTGGTCCTCAAGGCCTCCTTTCGCTCTTCCTCGTTCGCTTCTTTACCGATCCACAAGAAAACCTGCAACAACATTTGGATCAGGTTTTCAAAGCTGAGGTGCCTTACTTTCAAAGCACAAAAAATGCAACTATGTAATAAAATCTTCCATCAATAGTTTTCACAACATGTATTTTTAGTCTCACATTTTTAGATCAGCCTTTTCAGACAGAAAAGTTAAAAAGAGAGGACCACTCTCACTCAGTCAATCAGCGCTCAGCCCAAAGAGTCAAATAGCAACGCACAAAGCTCTTTCTTTCAAGTATGAAACATATAGAATGTTTTTTAAGGAGATAACACAGATTTTCCAAGAAACAATGCACACTATTTATGATACAAAATAAATATATCAGGTACCCAAGTTTTAAAGCTGCATTACCTCACTTTATTTTTTTATTCATTACGAAAATTCAATCCATATCCATGCAATGCATTGGGATATACGTCCTTTTGAAGAATAAGTAGTGCAGATTTGTCCGAGCGATAGCTCCGTGGGTGCGTTGGCGAGCAGAAAGAGCGAGGCCAGCGCTCACATTCGAAAATTTCACAAAGTGAGTTAGTGCAGCTTTAAGGTGTTACGTACCTTTGGCAGAGACATGTTAACTTGTGTGCAGTCTCAGATCCTCAGACCTCAACTTTCCAACTGTGAAAGTCTGAAGATGGGAGAAGCAGCTTTCTGTACAAGCTCCCATGATGCTTTGCGCCAAATACGCGTGTCTGGCTCTCATGCACCTGCACAGGGGGGCTTTGCCGCACTTTGACCAATCAGAGCTGCTGATCAGAGCAGCGGTAGAGCAGAGTCAGAGCGGGAAGGAAACGAGCAGAGTTTGTTGCATTAAATTATGGATTTAAAGAAAACCAAAGGATTTAAGAAGAAAAAAAGTTCAGGATGGCAAGGGACACTAAAATCCCCACAAAATCCAACCTTTATGAAAGCTGTAGGTTCTCTGTCAGCTGAGGTCGAGTTGTTTTAGTTTACATTGAGTTTTATGTTGCCCGCGCAAATTTAGTCTGCAGTACCATGGGCCCGTGGGTGGAACAGCTATAAGCCTACCAGCTATATACCCTATCCAGTTATTATTATAGATCCATGGTCCTACTCTGCCGAGTGAGAGGACGTTCCTGTAGAAGTTCCATCCACGACTTGTTGTGACTTAGGACTATACAAATATAAACTGAATTGAATAAAGGAATTATTTCAATACTTTTACTTCACCAATATGTAGCACAAGTAAAAGTATCTAAGACGAGTACTTTTGCCCCCTCTACAGCCCTCTACAGTGAGTTTATGGTCCAACCTGGTCCCACGTGTCCAGCAGCATGACGTCGTCTTCGCTGAGGTCGTCCTGATTGAACTGTGCGATCTCTAAAGCCACGAAACGTCCGGTTTTATTGGAGCATTCGAACAGACGCGGCTGGTGATCCGGAACCACCTGCTGCAACCTGACACACACACGCACGCACGCACGCACGCACGCACGCACGCACACACACACACACACACACACACACACACACACACACACACACACACACACACACACACACACACACACACACACACACACACACACACACACACACACACACACACACACTAACCTGTCAAAATCACTTTTTAATGAACACCTGGCACTTAAAAATCAGCAATTCCGGACAAATGAGGAGTAAAGTGTTCAAACTGTTATAATCCTGTTTTAATCTCCTCTCAGCGGATGTTCCACTTCTGCTGCTGTTGCATTTTTATACTCTTTGGCTACTTCTAAAATGATCTATTTATTAGTTTTGTTTGTATGGATGTGTTTCTGCTGCCACTGCTCTATCTATCTATCCATCAATCCACCCCCCCCTCTCTCTCTCTCTCTATCTCTCTCTCTCTCTCTCTCTATCTCTCTCTCTCTATCTCTATCTCTATCTCTATCTCTATCTCTCTATCTGTGTCATTGATTTAAGTGATCTTACTTTTTGTCGTTGGCATAGGGAGCTTTTCCTCCGAGCAGCTCCCAGAATTCCTCTGGCTCCTGTCCTTCAGACACCAGCTCCTCGGAGCCGCTCTGACCGATCACTGCAGCCACCTCTCGGGCCATTTGTCTCTCGTCTCCGCTCGAGCCCTGAGGGAAACACAGACCAGATGTTATTCTCTCACTTTCCATCAGTACACTTGACCACGGGTTCCCAAACCAGGGACCGTTCATACGAGCATGAGCCAAACCCACGGCTCCCTTTGAAGAATAACACTGAAAGTCATAGTTTGAAGCATCAAAACACATTTATTTTTGTTTTGTTTACGTCATTTAGATATTTGTTACACTGTTCTATTGAGCGATTATAACCCTCCCCGCCTGGCAGCCTCTTCAGTCCTGCACCAACAGCCCCAGTCCTCTTCTGCAGCCTGAGTCCTGGATCTTTAGCCTGTCCCTTTATGGGAGCAGATCCCTCTCTCAACACAGGCCTCCCCGAGGTTTCTCACTTTTTTCCCACAGATTATTATTTTTTGAGTCGTTCCTTGCCGATGCAGGAGGGTCTAAGGACAGTGATGATTTGAGATATTTAAGGACATTTATCTACATTTATTACCATTTATTAACAGTGGTCATCCCGCTCCCTATGGACCAATGGCTTCTGTGTTTGTTATTATAATATTTCTGTGTTTGATATTTTGATCTGATGTTTGTGCGATAGAGAACTTTGTGGGGTCCTCCGAGACGACTGCTGTTGTGATTTAGTTTTACACAAAAGTAAATGGAATTGGCCTGTTGCTCCTCTCTGCTCTTAGCTCTCACCTTCCCACACCACAGGTACAGGGCGCTCTGGCTCTTGAGCAGGAACACGTCTCCAGAGTTGAGGGAAGCAGCCTGGGCCTGGACCTCCAGAGCTTTGGTGTTGAACGGATCAGTGCCGTGGATCTGGAAGAGCCGCACAGGAGGCTCCTCCTCCGTGGAGCCGCTCCGAGAGGTGCCTCCCTGGAACCACACGTGTGAGCATTTGATCAGAGCTGTAACAAGTTCATCCATCGCAGGTCATTTGTTCAGGAAATAGTTGGCAACTAGTTAGTAAGTGAGATTTTAAGACTCAGATAATCTTAGAATGATTGCAGAATAAAATGAATAATAATAAGTTTAACCTGGGGGGTCTGCAGATGGAAATATATTCATATTTCATTCATAATTCAGTCATATTTCAGTTTGGTTCGAACACACAGAATACATGTAGGGCTAAAATCTTTGTGTTTTAATTGTCTGAAAGCAGTAACATTTGACTGAACTATAAACTGTGAGATTGACACATACACTTGTCTGAAGTTTTAGAACCTATTTTTTTGAATAGATTTTATGATACATAATGCACCCGTTTTGTACAGTGTATTCTAAAACAAAGAAAAGATAAAAAAATAATGTGATGAAGGCTTTGAGGCATAAAATGTATGTGTTTTGAGTTTAAAGCTACAATACACAAAAGTAAAGAGAAGAATTATTGCACAAATCAATGTTTCTCACTGTATCTCGCGGTCATAAAGCACCACACTGAATAATGAATAATGTGAAATGTGAGCGTACCATGAAGATGACCATTTTGCCTTTGAACATGGACATGAAGTGTTTGGGCTCTTTTCCCATCGTGACCCGGATCTGCACTGGTTCTCCTCCGTATTTCTTATCCAAGTCCACGGCCTGAAACGCAGATGCCGCCACCTCGTCCTGAGAGGCGTGGGAGCCCTGGAAAAGACACCATTACAGAACATGTGTTATGGAAAATCCAGATGTTGTTTCCATAGAGAGATGATTCCACGCTAATATCAGGAACTTATGGCACAAATGGCATAAACATGTTTATTATGATGAAGGAGAAAGTTTTAAAGTTTAAAGGAGGCAAATCAATTCTGCAGAATCCATTTTTGACATCTGGCACATGTAACTCCACCCCTTATGTTTAAAGCTCCTGTCTCAGCCCTGTAGACTGGTATCAAACTGATATTATGTTCTTTACAATGGCTGTGATGCAGGCAGTAATTTTCTACTTAGGAAGAAAAAAATTATAAAAATTAAACCCTTCCCCCTGGTGGTAGCATCGGGAGTTTAGGCAAAAACGTTTTTCACCCCTCTAATTTGTTTCACCAAGTTTTCTGCTTATGATATAACTTCACCTCAGACTTTGTTCTACAGCCTGAGTCCTGGATCTACAGCCTGAGTTCTGGATCTACAGCCTGAGTCCTGGATCTACAGCCTCAGTCCTGGATCTACAGCCTGAGTCCTGGATCTACAGCCTCAGTCCTGGATCTACAGCCTCCGTCCTGGATCTACAGCCTCTGTCCTGGATCTACAGCCTCAGTCCTGGATCTACAGCCTGAGTCCTGGATCTACAGCCTCAGTCCTGGATCTATAGCCTCAGTCCTGGATCTACAGCCTGAGTCCTGGATCTACAGCCTCAGTCCTGGATCTACAGCCTCAGTCCTGGATCTACAGCCTGAGTCCTGGATCTACAGCCTCAGTCCTGGATCTACAGCCTGAGTCCTGGATCTACAGCCTCAGTCCTGGATCTACAGCCTGAGTCCTGGATCTATAGCCTCAGTCCTGGATCTACAGCCTCAGTCCTGGATCTACAGCCTGAGTCCTGGATCTATAGCCTCAGTCCTGGATCTACAGCCTGTCCACCTGTGAGAGCAGATCCCTCTCTCAATTTGGGCCTCCTCAAGGTTCCTCACTTTTTCCCACCGTCTGAAAAAAAAGCGTTCCTTGCCAATGAGGGTCTAAAGAGAGTGATGATCCGACATCAGCCACCTCTGCATTATATGTCTATTCATTTTCTATTAGAGAAATGATTTCCGTTTGTAAAGTTGGCTCTGTACCTGCCACATGTAGAGCAGGTTGCGCTGTTTGCAGTTCACCAGATACGTGTACAGCACCAGGTAACAGTCGCCTCCGTAGAAGTATCCGTAGGACTGAGGCTCCACCGGGGCCAGCTCCAGGTTCTCAATCCTCCACATCTGCAACACACACAAGTTTTCACATGTTCTAGCATCAAGAATTAGTCCAGTTTAAGTCTGAGTCTGAGTCTGAGCCTCAGAGTGAACATGAACTAAAATACATTCCTGCGATCCCCTAAAGCCTCAATGGTTATTTACTGCAAAATCTGACAATAATTTGAATAATGTCAGAGTGTGCAAAATAGAACGCATGTGTCCAAATGTACAAACAATATATTTCTTTAACTAATATATACAGTATTTTTTTACTTGCTTCTATAACATTTTAGTTAGATAATTTATACTGACTTTGTTTTTATACTATAGTGGGAGATTTTAGATTTGCTTCCTCTCTACACTAAAGCTAGAAATTTTATATTTGCTTCTTTAAATACCAACTTTATTTTCATTTTAGAACAGAGTTATTGTTCATTTATCTTGAATTGTGTGCTCCTCATTCCTACTGTTCTGTAACTGGTGATGCAACACTGAAATTTCCCCACTGTGGGACGAAAAAAGCTTCTCTTTTAGCCTCTCTTAATTAAAGTCAGTACCAACAGAGGCCACAAGAGAGCGCCATTCTATTCGGACAGGGCGAAAGAACAGTTTGAATTCCTGTGTCTTTTAAAGCAGGTTAATAATACCTCTGTTTAGTGGTAGATTAACAAGACTTTGAAAAAAAAAGGTCAAAGTAGTTCTCAAAAACGTAAATGGGTTAATTGTAACTAATTGATTACTTTTATGGCAAGTTTATGTGTATGGCACAGTGAAGTCCACACACAAGGCAACTCTAAGTGCTAAAATAAAGTTACACAATGGTTACAAAAGAGTGAAGAAATACAGGCCGTGAACCTGTGATTAAATCATTTCTGTAGGTTATTTTTTCTTACACAATGGCCTCTTATTCTTAATGTATACTGGGGCCTCTAACCCCATTTTGATCAATACTGGGGTCTCAAATTTTGTATCGAAAATTCTAGTGATCAAATACCTTCATTCTGGACACTGCAATAACTTCAAACTATGTAATGTAGACTTTTAATTGAATTCTAACCCAAACTTCTATAATAAACTCTTTACCTTATTTCAAATTAGTTTAAATATAATCTGTTCATTGGTCTTTTTTGCGTTAGTTCTTTAATATTGAACCCAGTGTGAGTCATGAGCCACATGTTGTATTTACTTCCACTTGACCCGAGCCGTTGTCCACCATCCGCTCCTGCGCCGCCACGTTCGGCATCTCGTGCATCAGCGTCGCCTCGAACTTCTCAGGAGGAATTTTGGCTGAGGAAAAACACACAAAACGTCACGAAATAAACACAATAGGATATATTTTCGGTTCATCAAAAAGTAGAATTGTTCAGTGTGAGCATAAGAAGAATTGTGACATCATTGTATAACGGGAGAGTTCAAAAGACAAAATGGTCTGAAGTAAAAGGAATGATTCTTTGATGTTTGAAAATGGTTTTAACAGATAAGAATCAATAGTTCTGTAAGGGCTGGGCGATCTGGAGACAAAATAATAACATGTTTTTCTCCCATTCTGACCGATCTCAATTTCCTGTGTGCAATTTTCATACTTTTTTCCAACAAAATAATGACAAAAAACATTTGTCTTTTTTTTCTTTCACACAGAGTAAAAACATGAGCGAGTAGACGTGAAAAAGGTCCTTCAACAACAACCACATTATTGGTGTTTGTTAATTATAAAGCTGGGGTACCTAACTTTTTCCCCCCATGAATATTCCCTGTTTGTCCCAACAGAAAGAGTCTTCTAAAGTGAGGGTGGCTCTCACTTTTCCACTTTTCTGTCTGAAAAATCTGACCTAAAAATGTTGTTGAGGCCAAAATACACGCATTCGAAAAATTGCGATAGAACCAAACCGTTTCCAGAGTTTATTACCAAACTTTAGTGTTTGTAGTCAGAAAGTTAGATACCCCAGCTTTAATTCTATAATCATAAGAAAGTTAGCTTTAGTCTTGTGCAGAGAACCATGTGAGGACCCACAGGCAACAACATAAATCTGAAATAGTTCATAATGATCTTGAACCAGAATAACACAGAAACTTTCAACACTTTTATTCAGAAACCAAGAAAAATAACAGAATCATTCATTAAAAGTGAAGAAGAACTGATACAAAACCATAAACCTTTAGAAACAAATGACTATGAAACTAATACTTACCCACTTTTCCTCTGGAGTGGACTAGGCCCAGGCCCTGACTCTGGTCTTTCCCAGTCCACCTCTGGAACAGCTGCTTGAACACAGCCGACTCAGCGCCATCGTTCACCGTCTCGATGTTTGTGGTCGGAGGATAGTTCTTCGATTTGATGAAATCCTGAAGCATTTCTTTCATTAGATCTGGATCCTGCGGTTACATCGGTTTGTGACTTACGAGAGCTCTGGACATGGCCGCTTGCTTCTCCGCCTTGTTGGCTTTCTTGCCCTTCCACACAAACACCTTGGACCCTCCCTGATCCAGGATGTAACAGTCCTAAAAATAAGAAAGAAAACAGAAAAACTTCTAAACAGCTTGAATGGAGCAACAAATCTTTTGGTGTTAGTGGATTTTTTTTTAGAAAAAACTAATGGTAGAAGCAGCTCGGAAGAGCCCCCAAAACAAAACAAAGATGCTTTTCCCTTTACCAAATATCGTTTAGGACTGGTACAGATATTAAAATTCTTATTATTGCAATAAATGACAACAATAATGAATGACAATAACAAAATACAAAAAACGAGTTGAGTGAGAGTAAATAGAGAAGTTGTGCTGTGTCAGATGTAACATTTCTCAGTATGGTTTGAAATTGGTAAAACTATCCTTCAACCAGGGACGTGCAGTCAGGGGAGGCAGGGGAGGCAGAGCCTCACCTGCCATTATTGGAAACTAATAATTATTTTAGTTTAAATATATAATTTATATCCACTGTCCTATGCTTTTAATGTATATTCGGCACGGTTCCCATCAGTTTTGATCATTTCTGAAGTCAAAATCGCCGAAATCCCGTTATTCCTATTCAAAGAGACGAGGTGAGGCAGCGCTCCTGCGTGCCTCACCCCAGACCGCTCCCTCACAGTGTGTGTGTGTGTGTCTGAGTGCACTCAGCTCGTGCAGTTGATATATCACCGTTTGTTTCAAATATCCTGCTTTAAAAACATTTTTTAAACTCCTCTTAGTGTTTAGTAGTGTATTGCACGTATGTGTGTACAATTTATATTTAGTTTAAGTCTTTTGATCGTAGATGAACACACAAGGAAAAAGCTTGGCGTGAGGCAGGCGGTATCTGTGCCTCACCGCTAGGGGTGATAGTGAGCATAAAGTTCATACCAGAGTTGCTAACAAACAATCAGCCCAAAATGCTATTTCTTTTGCTGGAAAATGGATGATTTGAATGAAGATTTTTTTTCTCAATTGGACTTTCAAACAAAGAAAGAATTAATATAGACTGGGAGACCACCACTGGACTTACGAGGTTAGTCCGGCTGCGGGGGAGGAGTTTGTTAATCTGTGTTTTATGTTGAACATTGACAGATACCGGCAAAGTAGTGCTTTTCCGAAAAACACTGATTCAAACACTGCTCAAGAGTTCTGCAACTTGTTTAAATTATTGTTTATGTTCCTCGCGTCTCTCTCTCCTCGCGTCTCCGTCTCTCTGCTCCTCTCTGTCTCTCTCTGCTCCTCTCTCCTCGCGTCTCTCTCTCCTCGCGTCTCTCGCACCTGCGCTTCTTAAAGATGTTGTTTGATGCGGAGCAGAGTCAGCAGCTAGATTTGTTGTGAGATTATTAAAAGAAGCTGGTTCTCTTATCTTTACAGTATATAAAGTTTGTGGATGTCATTGCATTGGTGATTAAATGCTATTTTATTTGAATAATGATTGTAAATCTGACTTTTAAAGTCAGTGCCTCCCCAATCACAAACCTCACCGCACGTCCCTGCCTTCAACAACTAGACTCCAGCATGTACAGTTCCTTAAGGAGACATATTTAGCTAAATAAATAGCTTTTAACCAAGTTGCAACTTTATTCTCTGATCAAAAACAGACCTGGAGTCTGGAGCTATCCGGACCTTCTGGCACAAACATGGAACTCCGCCCTTTTTGTCTTCAAGCTCGTCCATGTCCTGTACTACAGTATGAGGTCATCGTACCACTAGGACATCATGCTCAGAGGAGTTTTCTGACTTTTAAAGGACCAGTTTTGCCCGTTAATTGGTGTTGGCCATTTCTCTTTTCTTTTTTACTTTATTTTTCTTCTTTACTATCACTGATAGTGTTTGCAGCTGGTCTTTTTCAAATAAACAAAAACAAAAGTCTATTTCCTCAAGTGGTAGCATAGTGAGTTACAAGCGCAAAGCATGTTTTACTTGCCATACATTTTTCACCATGTTTTTTCACCATTTATTTTCCCCTAAAGATATTAATTCACATTCTATAACGTGAAATGATCAAGTAAAGTCTACATTTTCAAAGACCAAAAATAATGCATCATATGTCTTCTTTAAAGAGGACATAACATGCTACTCTTTGCTAAATGACAGTGAGTGATAATCTATATTTTGTTCATTTGAAAGTTTTTAGGCTAAATGTTCATCCCCTTTAACATCAGTGAAACCACAGTCCAACTATGTATTAACGATTTGGTCAAAATACCGACACAATCTAAACAAATGAAATGAATATTCAACTTGGTTAAAAGCTGAGAAATCTCGCTTTTGCAGTGCGTTTTATAAGGAGAGGTACTTTTTTGTTAGCAGGGCCACTTTCACTCGCCAAAACTCTCCGTGGGCTGACAACGCTGCTCATAAAACTGGTTCTGAGCTTTAAAAAGACAAAAACAAATGTTCATGCAAATAAAGGGAATGACTGAATTGCAGAGGTTCTGAGCTTTACAACGAGGTCTAGCATGCATGTATTGGTGAAACTGAAGTTGGCTGGATGATACTGTGAAGGCAGAGGGTCACAGAAAACGAGTGGGGGGCCGCAAATGACCCGTGGGCCTGAGTTTGGACATGCCAGCTCTACCACATCCCTTCAGCTGTGATCGTACTACCATTCATAAACTCCAGTCGTGTTTTTCTTTTCTTTTTATAGGATGCTGTAGGTAAATGTGGAAGTACGTTCATTCGACCTCGTTTGGTTACTTTTGCATGTTCTCTTCTTTCAGAAAGTTGGACTCACGTCATGATTGAGCAGGTCCTGAACCAGAGGTCGCGACGCAACTTCTGCCACTTTCATCTGGCCTCCTGCATCTGACACACTGTGAACACACACACACACATACGCACGCACACATACATACGCAGAAACGCACACACACAAGGGTACACACAAACATGCAATCATGCACAAATACACACAAGCATATACACAGACATACAAACATGCACACACACACACACACACACACACATACATACACACACAAACACACAAAAGCATATACACAAATATACAAACACACACACACACAGAAAGCACATGGACACAAAAATGCAAACATACAGACATTCACACACATACACACACAAACACACACAAAATCTGTGACATATTTCATCAGTCCATAACTAATGTGTAAATGAGACACGCTTCGGCCTCTGCTCATTTTGTGGATAACTGTCTTTTTTATGTTTTTCATTAAAATCACAACGATAAATCTACAATCAAACCAGAGCAGAAAGAAGTCTAAACATACTGTATGACATCACAGTGTTCTATCCAGGGGTGGACTGGACATCGGGCATACCGGGCAATGCTTTATGGGCCGATGCCCATAATTGGGCCGGCCTATGAGCCTCATACAAAAAAGATATTTTTGAGAAATGTGTAAATCTGTTAAGAAATGTTGGCGCATGACCGCGGGGCACTTGCTGTTGATTGGTGTATGAACTCGATCGGGATTCCACATCCTCCGTGGCTGCAGCCTTTTGGAGCAGCTGCGGCTGTGAGCCGCTTTGACAAAAACACGGCAGCGCGCAGCCGTAACGTGGCCATGTACCCTAGACCTTATACCACAGTATCACACTGTGCTTGTTGTGTGCGTGTCTTTACGTAACCAACTCATGCAATAAAAACAGTGCTGCAAGAAACAGTCCGCGTCTTCCTTGTGTCTCTTCCCAAAGTGCAACTAAACTCACTAAATTAAAGCTGGGGTACGTAAATGTTCCTCTTTCATTAACAGTTGATTTTGGTTGTGCCCAAAAGTAAAATGTTTTGAACAAATCAAACAATCTAATGACAGCCATTGGCTTACATTATACATTTCAGACTTCTTTGAAATGTCACATTCTCATCCCTGTAACAAACAATATGGTGCTATGTCCGTCTCCCTCACTCTGTAGTGACATGTTTAAATGTTGACCATCGCACTTTATTATAATTGTTGAAACTGAATATATCCTGAGCCTCTACAGTATGTGCTTCCGCACACTGTAAAAATAACAGTGGTCAAGCCCTGGTTCGATCCCTGCTGAATACGTTTCAGTGACTTCCTCGTCTCTCTCTGTGTGTGCTCAGGAGGGTGTTTCTAGCCCTGAGTCTGAACACATTATTTGACTAAAAGATTATAATAAATATCATTAGCAGAGAGGCAGCGGTGGGAGTCTATGGGCAGGAGATTAACTTAAACTCAGAACATGCAAACTGCAGAGTGAGTGTGGCCAGAAAATATGTCATATTGTTTTGGTACCAAAGTAGCTACGAGAGCTACTGGATCCAGGACACTTTATAAACAACGATCCATGTTTTTCTTCTATCTTTTTTTCTATTATTGTTTTAGGATTCTTCAGTCTCTGATGCAGGGATCCAGCTCATGTCTGTTTCAAATTACATTTCTGGCTTCTGTGTTTATACATTTACACCTTCTCAAAACAACAACTAAAATATTTGCTCTCTGTTGTTCTTTGACATGACATAATCTCTAAAAAAGAGATATATTATTAAAAATGGCCTTTAGTTTCTTCCTGGCAAATATGCACGATTTCTGAAATTGGCAAAACTCAGCATGCTTTGAGGAATTCATATCATAGTTTTTTCAGACTTTTAAAACAAAAGTATTGCCTCCAAAAGTTATTTTGGTAATCTATCCAGTCTCATTCCATTCTTTATTACTGTGTGCCTTATTGAATTAGATTGTGTCATTTAGATTTCATTAAAATACTAGCTGTAGCCTCTATGTGGAAGTTGTCATATTTTTATCTTGAGGTTTTGAGTTTTTGGTTAAGAAAGTTATCCAGAGATCACATCTATGAGCCAATCCCATATCATAACGACAGTGAGACTCACTGGTAGAGAGTCAGCTGTGACTTCTGCTCCTGATCCGCCGTCTCGTCTGGAGCTCCGTCGCTCAGGGCCCCGGTCCTCTCCCCCAGAGCCTCCGTCACCAGCTCCATGGCACGGGGAGAGTTGTCCTCCGCGTCCCCCTCCACGATCCAGACCTGTGCCCGACCCCCGCGCTCTCTGTCCCGGATGTCCTTCGCCATTAGCATGCCCTACAAGAACACGACCCACAGGTTACAGACTGACATTTTAGCTGAAAAGTTTAGAAAGACTGATAAAGACGGATGTTTCACTATTTTCTCATGTTGTTCACTGCAATTTCAAGCTTCAATATTTCATCATTTTAGGTATATGGGGTGGCAGCATATAATTTTGACTACCCTCTTCTTTTTGAGCTGAGTGACAAAAGGAAACCCTTAAGTGTGTGTGTGGATGTGTGTTCATGTACATATGTGTGTTTCTGTCATGTAGAAAATGTTTGCTGTAAATTCCATAAATGATTCCTGTTTAGAAGCTAAATAAAAACATTCAAATCAAATATTTTGAAACTGCTGTAGTTCAAAGGTTGTGCTTTACTGTTCCACAGTTTCTTTGTTTTGTCTTTCCTCTTGCGTTCCCTCCCTTGTGCTTTGTTTTCCTGGATCTACTGCTTTGTTCTCTTGTATCTGCTAATAATAATTGTTACATTGTTTTATCATGACTATTTTATTGAGTGGACGCTGTTTTTGAAAAGTGCTATACAGATAAAGATTTATTATCGCTTTTATTATTATTATTTTTATTTTATTTTTCATTATCTTCATTATCATTATTAAAATGATGATGATTATTATTATTATCATCTTAATTATCATTATTATTATTATTATAGTCTTTGCAATCTGAAAATACTAGAAATTAAATCTGGAGTGCCAAACTTTTTTGCCACATAAGTACGTGTTGTTAGTCCCAAGCAAATAAAGTTACTCTTTTTACATTTTTTTACAGACCAAGGTCACCTTGGTATCAGATATCGTTCCAATCATTCCACACACAGGCTGATGTGACACACAGGCACATCAGCCCCCAATCACCACCATCCATTCACTCTCTCCTCTACATTCATACCTATTGTGCATGTTTTCAGTGGTAGGGGAAACCAGAGCACCTGGAAGAAACCTACACAGACACGGGGAGAACATGCAAACTCCACTGAGAAAGGCCCTGTTCTGGCCGGGATTTGAACCCAGGACCTTCTTGCTCAGAAGCGAGAGTGCTATCCCCTCAGCCACCGTGCCAACAAATATGGTTGCGAACATATCATATATGTTTGGCCTGCGGCCCTTGTGTTTGAAACCTGTGGCCTGGTGCATCAAAGAGACAGTGGAGGAAGAGTGCGAAGGATGTGGATTTTGTTGATGTGGTTAGTTTGTTGTGAGACGATGCAGAGAACATGAGATATGCGCTGTAAACAGGGTTAGGGTTAGACTTATTTTACTTTGAGTTTTTCTTGTCTGTTGCACTTTGGTCCGTTCCACTGGACAATAGTGAGACCCAGATCCAGCAGAAAGACGTCTCCGTTGTTGAAGCTCTCCCAGCTCATCTCCACCTGAACATCCACAGAGGAAGCAGCTCATGCAGACTTCAAACCTGTTCCTACAGTTGTGTTGTGTTGTGTTGTGTTGTGTTGTGTTGTGTATCTCTCTGACCTCTTTGGCACAAACTTGCTTCTTGCCTTTCACGTGCAGCAGCCTCTTCACCTCGTATGAGTTTGTTTCCACGTGTCTCATTCCTGAAGCAACGCCGCCTTGTTTATAGCTGCACAAACACACAAAATGGTTATTTACTGTCAATGTATGAGTCAATGGAGAACGGAAATAAATAAACAGTAATGCAAGAGAGAAAAAGATTGCAGATACAAGTGATCAAAATGAATGTTTGACCGTGGTTGTGTGCTTCCTTAGAGATTAAGGCGCTCAGTAAAATGGGAGGAACTCTACATAGACCCGCTGCTCCCAACCCAATGTGTAACAAGCCATCTCTATGAAGGTGTGGTCCAGCGGCATCACTTGGCTGTGATAGTAAATAATTATAAAGTGTATGCACAAGACCACCATACAAAGTACAATACATTGTAAATCATATATCGAATGAATATTTATTAAAAAGTTTCAAATATCTGCTATCACATCAGACTTGCAGTAGCGCCAATAACTCACATGATTCCCTTTTTGAAGTACCCTCTAAAGGTTTCGGACTCGTGGCCCTGGACCTCTCTGCACTGGACCGGAGAGGATCCCAGGAAATCGTCCAGCTGTGTGGTGTAGATTGCGGCGGCTCCCTGTTCGTCCTGACTGGACTTTGAGCCGATCCAGAAATGGAGGTTGTAGGTGAGAGAGCTGTGCAGCTTCTGAGTCTGAGGACGAGACATGAGATCTTTCCGTTAGTACCTGGTGCATGCTGGCCATATAGAGACGTCAGTCATTACACTTTTGGGTCAACATGTGATAAGTTTAAACACTGAAACATATTTCTGAGTTAAAATGATCCAAATTCAAGTATAGAGAGCCAACCTTTATTCCAAAATTAGAGGAACATTTTCAGGGAGACTGTTCAAGCCCATGTTTAGTCCTGACCCCAGGCACCAGCAGGAGGCCAGTCCCTGTGCTACTCAGAGTCCGAGTTGGTTCATATGGCACTAACATGTCACAGATGTACTTAGGTGCGAGGCCATGGAAAGTCTGAGCCACAGGAAGCCAGTGCAGAGACCTGAGAACTGGCCTTAATGTGATTGTACTTCCTGGTTCAGGAATACACTACAGCTGTTTACACCGTGTTTGGAGAGACCAGAAAGCAGCAGTTATAGTAGTCTAGCCGACTGGAGACAAATGCACAATACTATATAGTTTTAATTTTAGAAGAATAACAAATACTTTATGGATCTCACAATGATGAAATCCAAGTTCCTTAAAGGGAAAGTGGGGTAAAGTATCTTGCCCAAGGACACATTAAGAGTGGCAGAAGTCGTGGAGAAGGTGTTGCGGTGGGCTCGAACTCTTCAAGAGTTCGAAGAAGAGCTCGAAGAATCTTCAGGCTCAAAGGCCAATGCTCTACTAACTGAGCCACTGTTGCCAGCAATGTTTTTCAGATGGTAGAAAGCACCTGATGATATAGCATCATGACAATATTGAAAAAATGAAACCTAACAAAAATCTGGATATTATTATTTTGTCCATATTTCCCACAGAGGACTCTGTCAGGGCTGCCCTACGGCTCCAATGGTATTCAATCTCTTTCTCTTCTTGGACAGATACACATCCACGCAGCTCATTTCTCTTGACAATCTAGCCCCATAACATTCAGAAAAAGCTCAAATGCAAAGAAAAAACCTAATCTAGGTGGTGAATATTTTATAAATAGAAACACACTAACCATTAGAAGTAGGTAGCAGTCTCCTTCAAAAAAGTTTCCATGGGATTTTTCTGGGATGACCACCAGCTCCATTTTCTATTTCACACACAAACAGTTATTATTACTATACTTTGAAATACTATAATCATTTTTTTATTTACCGTGGCATTTCAAAATATAAATTTGTATTTTTCTAGAGTTTTTGTATTTCTTGCATTTCTTTTACCTCACCTCAACTCTCCAAATGATCAGTCCAGGACTTTTCTTCACGGCTTTGAACGTAACCTCCATGATGTCACACTAGTTTCCTGCCAAAACAAAACCAAAATCAAAAAGCGTTCCTTGAGTTAACAGACAGACACACTGACAAACCCTGGTGATTACATTACTGCCCATATTTTTTCATTATCACCTGTGTTGCTGCAAAATTCAGATCCTCACACTGGCATTTGAAGACAACCAAAGATACATTATCATTCAAATCAATAAAAACTTACTTTTTGAGATATTTCCTCCCGAATCTTCAACTTCACCTTATACTTCCTGCAATAACGAAGTCTTCGACCTTCGCCCTAAAGTTGATGTCATCGCTGATGGGAGCCGGCCCACATCATCCTCGTCTTCTATGTCTCCATGGAAGGGATTTGCCTATTTTTGCATACTCTCTTCGTCCAATCGCAGAGCAGCACAAGGAATCATGCAAATACGACCAGACAAAAGGGATCGACTAAACAAACACCAGGCACAGCCCACAGCTGATGCTTCTCTGCGCCTTATATGGACATAGTTTGACACACAATTAAGCTCAGAGGTTTTAGACTTTATCACGGGTTTAACCATACTGTATATCGAAGCACATTCCCAGTCTGTTATTGACCACGGCCATCGGTGGACATGACATATACAGTATCAGTGTTTTTCAACCAGTGGGCCGTTGCACGTTAGTTTGCTGTGAGATGTTGTTTGGTGTGGCTTTGGAAATGATCCAATGTCAAATATCATGTGAAGGGAAAATATTAATAATGTGAGAAGATTAGAAAGACTTTTTTGCTCTTGTTTTTTTTTTGATGTAACACAATTTGATGAGACTTTTTATGTGATGATATTTTTGCATATTTGACCTTGAAGTGTTCAGCATTTTCAATTATGAAATTTCATTCACCACTTTATTCTTGTATTGCCCTAAATCACAACGGCAGTCATCTCAGAAGACTTTAGAGAACTGTTGAAATCGCCAACACAAGATGGATGTATAAACTACACCAGGTCTGTTTTTGAACAATATTGAAACTTAGTAATATATCAACAAATGTATATATAATATTGCAGTGGTTCTGGTCTCCGCTCACATCAGTTTTTCTTATGTTATACATCACTTTTTAGTGGAAATCTTTAGCCAATAATGACTGGAAATACACATTGCTTAACCCTAAATAATCCACATGACAAGTACTTGTTATAGACAACACTCAGTTCTGAAAATCATGGAAATACATACTTTCTCATAATAAGTCTTTTAGGGAAAAAAAATATAACAACAAAAACGTTTAACACATGCAACAAGTCTTGGCGAACTGCAGCCAACCGCAACATTAACAATTGTATCTACATTGAAAAGAAAAGTATGAATTATATTTGACAACCCCTTTGTTTCATGTGAGGTTAAAAACATGGAGTGGTCAAAGACCGCATCATCACCAATGCTATTGTAAAAATAGTCCCTGCAGCAACCACTGAGCTAGCATTAGCTAAACGTACCTTTTTACCGAGCGTGCCCTTGTGTGTGTGTGTGTGTGTGTGTGTGTGGTTGTGTGTGTGTGTTTGCGCATGCATCCGAGCGTGCATGTAAATTAGCAAGGTTATATTTCTACAAGGTACAGTATATTTGTTTGTGAGGAAAGTCATAAAATTACTCGGAAAATACATTTACTATTTTTTCCAAAGTAACGGAACACTGTACAAAATACTTTTTAGGTCATGTATCCAGTATTCTGTAACGGAATACATTTTCAAAGTATTCTACCCAACACTAACTACAACATACTGTCATTTTTTATTTCCCCGACAGGAACCAAACATTCAAACAATGCCACACTCTGTCAGTGAGGAAGTTAGTTAATGATCTGTGCTCATTCATAACCACATGAGCAAAGGAAGTCGTTTTCTGATGGCAGTTTAGGCCCAAAGTAAAGTCTCAGTGAAGTATTACCACATGCATAATGAGCCGAGTGCAGTGAAAACCTGATGCAAAGTAATTCCTGGAAGTTCACATTTTCTTAAAGAGGCTGCGATGGTCGTGAAGGACACCAGGAAAACATGACATTTTTAATTCAGATTATACTTATTTCTCATACAATCTGTTGAAGAAGCACCATCATAAGTTTTCAGTTTTTAGTGTAGAAACAAAGGGAGAGTTCAAATGCAGGACTTCAGATTTCATAATCACTTTTGTTTTGAGTGGTTCCTGGCTGATGCAGGAGGGTCAAAGAACTGAGATAATCCACATTTTTGGACATTTTTGGACAGTGATAATCCCGCTCCCTATGAACCAATGGCTCCTTTGTGTTTGTTATTATTGCATTTCCTGTGTTTAAACTGTCTGATTCTCTGATCTGTTGTTGGTGAATCAACAACCGGGTGAAGTCCTCCGAGACGACTGCTGTTGTGATTTGGGGATATACACAAATAAATGGTCTTGAATTGATTTGAACAAAATTGAGGATAAAACAGAAATCCAAAGACACGGGAGTAAAGACAGGGTTTAAATCAATCAATCAACTTTATTTGTATAGCGCCTTTCCAACACAAGGCAACTCAAAGCGCCTCACAACCCACATGATATCAAACAAATCAGAAACATTCAAATCTATATATACATATACAAAAAATAAATACGTTAAAAACAGAATAAAATCACAAGTAATTAACCTTAAAACATTAAAAGCACACACGGGATTAAAATAATAAATAGCCACAATGCATAAAAAAAAGAGTATGTATGTATACAATCCTTCAGCTGTACGCACAGCTAAACAGAACAGTTTTTAACCTTGATTTGAAAACTGCCAAAGTAGATGCTAGCCTCACATCTTCAGGAAGATTGTTCCAGATTTTAGCTGCATAAATCTGAACAATCTTAAACACACAAAGGGAGACACTGGAGACTCTCATCGGGAGAGTTCAACACCAGAAAGCATACACTTGGATGTATTTTTATTGTCGTTGTTTTTCACTTTGATAACCTGAGGCTGATTTTCAAATGTGCTTTACAAATAAATATTGGTTGATTAATTGAAGGTGAAGCAGGCAATCAACTGAACACACAAGAACCAATACATTCAAAATAAAAGTCCTAGGACACACTTGTCAACAGTGTTGAGGAAAGTTACTTTTGAAAAGTTACTTTTCCCGTTAGTCGTTACTTCTTTTAAAAAGTAACCTGTTACTTTACTAAAACTTCTTTACTTGACTTTTTGACAGATATCTAAAGGTCTTCCTCCTCATCAAAAGTAAAAAAGTCTGGATTCGTCTGCATATCTGGCAACCTGAGTCAGGGAGCGTGGGAGAGGCTGCAGAACCACTTTTGGCCAGACTTTTACATACTGCGTCTTTAACGCGTTACTTTTCTTTTCCCTGGAAAAAGTAATTTTGTGAGGCGAACACGTTCCTTCGTAAATCGTTACACCCAACACTGCTTGTCAAAGGGGTTTAAGGATCTCCTCTTGTACAGAAAAAAATTAACTGAGACAAAACAAGCTAAACTTGGAACAGACAAATCTTAATTGTAGGATGGTTTGTGTATTGGATTTTTTCAACCTAAAAATGTCATTAAAAAACAAAACACATTTAGAGACTAATATTACACTCTAAATGTGTTTATAATTTTCACAGTAAGAAAAAGTAATGTATCCCACAGAAATAACTTTTAAAGTATGAGACTTTTTTGGTTCAGCCAAAAGGCTCCTGACCCCTGCTGTAGAGAAACTTCCACCTCCATTTGTTTGTGGATTTCCTTGTGCTTAATGCATTACTTTCCCTTTGTCATCCTTTTTTCTTTGTGAAATCAGACTCTGTATATTCATCCATTTGTAAAGAAAGGCCTGAAAGTGTCGTGTATCATCCATAAACTACCAGGAGTGGGATTTGAACCCACGAGGACTACTGGCCATTAGATCTTAAGTCCAACGCCTTAACCACTCGGCCACCCTGGTACAAAATATTAGGACACAGAAAAACCTTGAATCAGCAACATCTGACCAAGAGATAATAACATAATGAACTGGGACAATCCAAAAATAGTTGGAATGGAAATATGTAAATACAAAAAATGGACCCAAGAGGCATGGAAAAGAGTAAGTGGGGCTCACAGACCATCAACAGAGACAAGGGGGCCTTCACCTTGATTCACACCTGGGACACACCTCCTGAAACTACAGTGGAGTGGGGGTGTTGTTGTTTTGTTTGTGTGATTTTCATCACACAAACAAAACAGTCCAAACCAGTCAAGAAATGGCCTCTGTGGCTGCAGGTTTTATATCAGGCCCCCGGAGCAAAGCAGGCTCCCCCTATTTCCTCAAATCTTCAGTTTAAGGCACTGTTTCGACAGAGACGCTGTGGAGATGCTGCAAAGCAATTTGCAAAAACCACCAGGCTCCGCATTTGAAGTGCACAGTGTCTACACGACAAAAGGAAAACTATATAGTTCTTGACCTCCACCAGTATAATCTCTTTCTCAACAACATTCTCCTCAGGCCACCGCAAAGACATGAAAGAATGCACCAACACCATTCTGCATTCAACAGCAGCAGCAAAAATGGAAACTGAAACTAGAGCTTCACATTGTTTCACATTGTTTGGCCGAACCAAGGAGTAGAATTCTCCTCCATTAGCGCTCGACGCACATGTATCATTAGTTGACCTGCCGCCGTTTGTTCTTGGCTATTGCGCATGTCCAATTGTATGTGCAGAGAAGTGACGAGGTCAGAGCAGGCAGAGAATTCTCACCTTTTTCTTCACACAGCTGTGAAACCGCCCCCGACGAGCAGCGTATCTGTTCTGTTCCTCTCTGAAGGCAGTTTCTCAACACTAGCGTTTTCACCCCCCTGGAACACCGTCTTCCTATGAACGAAAGGCCAATCCGATAGCTCTGTTGTATTACTGTGTAAACAGCACATAAGACTGAACTCACTTGAGGAAATGGGTCTGCTCTGCTCCTCCTGGGTCTGAAAGAAAACCTACAGCCACAGCGGCCCTTTCTGGATCGGTTTGAACACTGATATACTGTGTTACTCTCAAGCTCTGGCGATGCAAGTCAGTAAGTAAATCTGAAGGCGCTATTCTTTCACAGACCAAAGTCACAAAGTGCCTTACAATTGTTGTGGGCATTTTTCTCTCACTTCACATAGAGATGGGAGCGAGAGTCGAAGATAGCGCTGTATTCAAATCAATGGCACTGAAGGATTAGCAGAACTCGCACATACAGGGCATTCATCTTGTCCTCCCAAATCTGAGTATGCATGCGTGTATCTCACCTTTTAGACTATCCAGCAAAGTTATAATTTTCCAAGAGAAGGGTGTTCATCTGGAAAGCCATGGCACTCCTGATGTACCAGGAGTGGGGTTCGAACCCACGAGGACCACTGTCCATTGGATCTTAAGTCCAACGCCTTAACCACTCGGCCATCCTGGTACATTTGTTCATTGCAGGACTATGATTCAAAGGCTCTCTTGGTGTGTTTCTGGTGTGATTGAGGAACGCCAAAGGTCTGTCCTCTGTAGAGCAGAGATCAGGAACCTATGACCCAGATGGGGCTTTTTCAATGATTGTAGTAAGAATGTTTTATGTATTGGATTTCTTCTGTGTAAAAAGGTTATTAAACAAATACATACATTCTGAAATTAAGATTTTACTCTAAATGCATGGTTCTTGTTTCACAAATTCATAGTAAAGACAAGTCTCGGCTCCCACAGAAACACATTATCAAGTTTAAGGCTGATGGAGTCAGCCTTAAACCTAGCCTCACAGCGAGATAAGATAAAAAGATAAGTCTCGTTCTTGACTACTGCGCATGTCCAAGTGTATGTATCTCTCAAATCGCTTCATGTCGTGTTTCCACTGATTGGCCGAAAGGTTGAGCTCAGAGTGTCCCAGGATCTGCAACGCGGAAAACAACTTCTGCATGTGTATTGTGATTGGCTGAGAGTGCAGTGGACTCTCCCAGGTCTGGTACTGATGCTCGAGGCGCAGCAGGAGTGTGTTCTGGTCCCACTGCTGCAGAGACACCCTGGAAATGATATGTTTCTAGGGTGCACAGTGAACAGACTAAACACACTCACAGTATACATGAGTTTTTATCACATCTTCTCTTTATCAGAAGCCATAACAGCATTTATCTTTAATACCACCCCCTGTTGTAGCAGCTGCCGCCCCAGGAGCTAACATTAAACCAGAGATGTGTGTATTACAAAGACCAGGGTTCACAACATGGGATTTTAAAACATCTTTGAAGCAAATTGTAAATAATATTCCGACTCTTGCAGCTGAACAGTAATTATTTGTTTGCAGTTATTTCCACAGAACTGGACCTGCTTCTAAGAGACATCTCGGTTCATTTTGTTTAACTTTCCAGTGCTTTTTTCTAAACCTTTACTGAGTGTTTAGACCGCTCCACTCTTATACTTCTCTTTCTCTCTTTTAGGGTGAAAGTGCCAGGAAATATGTTGATGTTTCTGGCAAATACCTGAAATTATAATGAAGTGTAATGGGAGTGTTCCAGCAGCTGCTTTGGCCTTTTCCCCACGGGCTTCGTGACTACTTCACTTCACAAGTCAAGAGCTTTCCTTTACTCCCTGTTAATCTCAATGATTTTTGTAGTAATACAGATGTTTTCCTAATACGACTCAATATTCACCCTTTTCTCCTGACTAGTGAGATCTTTCTATTTTGCAACCTGCAAACCTTTCTTTTGTTTTTTTCTGTTTAATTATTATAATTCTCTATCTCTTTCTCGATCTCTTATAGAGTTCAGGGCTCCACCTTTGCTTTGTTTTACATAACGTCTACAAAAACTTTTTGCCCCCAAAGAGTTAACTTGGTTTCGTATCAGTGCATTGCTTTGATATGTGCACACCACATCAAACACTTTCAAATGAAAAATGTTTCATCTATAGAAGGAATATTGGGTCTTATTTCTGTTTTTCATCTCAAGTTTTAAAATGTGAAATCATTTCTTACATACAATAAATATCCAGGAGGTGCAGCATGGTTTTGGTCCCAGCCGCAGAACCCTGGGCCCACTCTATACCCTCAATCGGATACTTAAGGATCATGGGAGTTCGCCTCAGTCCACATGTGCTTTGTGGATCAGGAGCAGGCGTTCACCCCGTGCCCCGCGGAGTCCTTTGTGGGTTCTCCAAGCTCTTGCAACCCACCACCACCTGTCTCTCCCTCTGACCCCTTTCCAGGCGTATGCATTTATCATGAGATGATATGTGAGATGTGAGATGATCTCTGATCCCCGGGGGATCAGAGATCATCTCACATCATCGCCCATCATAATAATCAATAAATGAATCTATTTAATGCATCTTCTGTGTCTGTAGTTCTGATGGCTTCAACAAACCAGGACCTTGAACATGCACTGGGACGGTTTGCAGCCAAGTGTGAAGCGGAGGAGAATCAGTACATCCAAATGTGAGGTGCCGTGCCCTCTCCAGATGGTGGAGACGTCCTTCCTCAAGTGGAGGAGTTCAAGTATCTCGGAGTCTTGTTCATGAGTGAGGGAAGGATGGAGCGAGAGATTGACAGGAGGATCGGTGCAGTGCAAACAGGCGTCACATCCCTTTCATAAGACAGAGCCAAAAACAACTCACTGATGAGGGAACACTGTTGTAACACGTTCAGAAAAACATGTTGTCTAATATGCGCCCTTTAAACTATTTTTGAAGTAATTTTGTCACAAAATGACAATATCAAAGCCGTATCTGTTTCAAAACAGAACTGTTTTCAACTTGAATTTGAACATTGTCGGAGAAGAAGCCTGTCTCCCATTTTCAGGAAGACATGTCACAAATGTACTTTGGTGCGAGGCCATGGAGAGACTTGTAACAAGCAGAGCTGCTTTAAAGTCTATTCTCTGAGCCACAGGAAGCCGGTGCAGAGACCTGAGAACTGGACTAATGTGATTGTACTTCCTGGTTCTTATCAGCGTTTTGAATGAACTGTTTCAGGGCATGTTTGGAGAGCCCAGTGAGCAGCTGTTATAGTCTGGAGGCAAATGGATGGATGAGAATCTCCAAGTTTGCTTTAGACACAATACATTTTGGACTCTGGCAATATACGTAAGTAAGCAACTCTAAAACTTAAGTTATATAAAGTATTTTGAAAACACATTTTCAAGAAGGAAAGCGCGCTCATCCCAATCCTCCATTTCAAAAACAAACCATAAAAATACAAACATTCTGGACAGTGGGGCTTTAGTCCTGGGGTAATATATCCCGTCCTCTGGGCTGTCATCATGAGAGAAGCAGGTAACTCCAGAGGAAATGGTTTCTCCAGACTTCCATCTCTGTGGCTCCTCCCTAACTCCGCTGCTCAAATTCCAGCCAGCCCACTTCGGCGACTCTCTGCTTCTGCTAAAACCGCTCTCTGTCATCTCTCCACAGCCTGTCTGCTGCGGGACGTCCCAACATGAGATCCTCACTGCTGCTGCTGCTGACGCTGGCCTGCTTTGCCACCGCTCAACACCAGGCCCTCATTGACTATTTAGAGAGGAGGCTGCTGGCGATAGAGGTAAGACTATACAACTAAAAATTACCAAAAACAATCAGACCACAACGTCCTTTCTTCAACTGAAAATCACATTGCATGATGAAAGAGCCCCGTGAGTCACTGCTTGACACTGGCTGAGAGCTGATTGGCTGAGTCAAGGCGGTCCTCGCTTTTTCATTTGTCCGAACGGCTGATATAAAGATGTGACAGAAGCCAAAATACAAGTGAAGATTAGTGTTAGAATGGTTTTGAGAGTAAGGAATACGTTACTGTATATACTGCAAAAAAAAATCAAAAGTCAAAAATGCCTTAAATTTGGAAAAATGTATCTTAATCTTAGCACATCGTAACTGCCTTAAAACAAGATTTGCCAATGGGACAATGAGCAGAATAATCTTGTTTTTAAAAAAATATGAGAGATGTCTCCATTGGAATAAGAAAATAAAGCAACAGTCCTCAAAATAAGACTAAATGCTTTTGTCTCATTGGCAAATCTGGTTTTAAGACAGTCAGAATGTAGTCAAATTCTTTTTTTAAAAACCCACTCAATTCAAGCCATTATGACATTTTGTTTTAATTTTTTTTTGCACTGTATGAACGTTATCACATTGTTAATTTTTGTGTGCTTTGAAAATTAGGTACCCCAGTTTTAATGCACTTGAAAACAAGACATTTTGCTTTGAAGACAGTTGGAGTGGGAACAAAGTAACTTACTTCTGGCTCATTAACTTGTCTACGCCCCAAGTTACTAATGAATAATGAGTAATCGTGGACAGGACTGTACAAAAGCCAACAGATCATACACTGCAAAAAATATGAAAAGAAAGTTACTGATTTGAGAATATTAGTTGAATGATTTGTGTTTTGACAATGTTTAGATTGCATTATTAGAGTAGATAAGCTTTGAAAACATAAGTAGAGAGATGTGTCTTTCAGGGAGCTTGTCAGGAGCTGTGGCTTCTGTAGTGCAGTTTTACTCAAGTTAAAGCTGGGGCACCTAATTTTCAAAGCATGAATAATTGGATGTAATAAAATCCACCTATCTAGCTTCTGGGTCAAAAACAGGCCGGTTCCATCATAAGTGTTCACATGCATTGTTAGCCTCTGACACATTTTTAGATCCGCTTTTTTCAGACAGAGAAGTGAAAACGAGAGGACCACCCTCCCTCGGCCAATCAGCTCTCAGCCCAAAGTGTCAAACAGTGACTCCCAAGTGTCTTTCTTACAAGTTTGCAACAGAGAACACAGACAAAGACGGCATGATGTGGTCTGATTTGTTCTTAAGGTTTTGTTTTTGCAGGACTTTTCTGTTGGGACAAACCCCACGCATTATTAATGAAAACAATAAATTAGGTACCGCAGCTTTAAGACTATTCAATAATGTGAAAAAATGTACTTGAAAATCTCCAAAGATGCTTTTTCTATTGGTGTTATTTTAAAGACAGACGCATTCATTTAAACCTATATTTTCGGAACTAAATAATGTTTTAGCAGTGTATAATAATAACGTCAGAATGGAATATTGTTGTATTTTTTTATGTAGGAGTCTTTGGTCACTGTATTTAAAACGTATTTGTATGAAAAAAAATGCTTTCGAAATGTACTATTTGATTAATGGACCACAAAATCCTTGTGAGTGGCAAAGACTCCAGGTTTAGTTTGGACTTGGATCCATCAGAGGTTTTGGTCCTTCAGCTTCAGTGCTCAGGACTCAGACCCAGAACCAATGAAACCCAGATGTGAAGAATTTACTGGAAAGTGCAAAACAGCCTTGTCACTGTCCAGAGATCTCTGTGTGGGATTATGTGATGATGAAGCCCTGAAATATGATGGACCACAAGTAGATGTTTACACAAAGATCATATTTTTAAAGAACGCTTACATTACTCATGCCTTTGTCTGCTATTATTATAATATACTAATAATCACAATATATTTTAAACATTTTCAGAATCATTTTTATTGCCACGTAAGTAACAGGAGGTCACAGACTTGGAAATTGCTTTGGCTCAGTGCAACAGTCAGAAAGAGAGGTGAAGGTAGAGAGGCATAATAAAAAATGACAACAAATAAAAAGCACTTCTAAGGAATAAACTTAAAATAGAGTTACAATTACTATATACAATACACAAGTGCACATGGTGCACACAATGTAAGGTGACAGCAGTACAGTGAGGTAAAGACGGGTATATAGAAAAAATAAGGTTAAAAGTACAGAAATAAAAGTAACAAATTAGGAAACAATTGTCAATAATCAATCAACTAAGTTTCAATCCAAAGCCAAGATCATTTAAAGTGCCTTGTTCAAACTGAATTCAATTTATTTATGGCACGGTAGGTGAGTGGATAGCACTCTTGCCTCTCAGCAAGAAGGTCCTGGGTTCAAATCCTGGTCAGACCCTGCTCCCATCTCTGTGTGGAGTGAGAGACAAATGCCGCTCTGTGAAAGGCGTTATAAGAATAAAGATTACTTACTATTTATGTGTAGACCTAAATCACAACAGCAGCCGTCTCGGAGGACTTCACCATTCACCTAAAACAGTTTCAACACAGGAAATACAATAATAACAAACCCATAGGAGACATTGGGTCCAGAGGGAGCGGGACGGTCACTGTCCACAAACGTTAACAAATGTCAATAAAAGTCCTCAGAACGACCCTCTCACCTGCAGCAGCGAGAGAGTCTGTGAAAGTGAAGAGAAGTGTTCAAAATGTAGACTAATTTAGGGCACAGTTTGACAGCCTGATCTTTTTTTTCTTTTAAAGATACAAGAAATGTCTCTTAAAGCAACAGTTCTCGAAATAAGACTAAATGGCCCTGTCCCATAAACTATTATTACCTCATTTTTTATCATGTTTTGCAGTAGCACAGCTCACATATGTTATTATGTCTAATTACACAAGTCCCAAACATGTTTTAGACAAGTTTGTGGTAAATTGTAAGAAGAGTGAAAAAGTATTTTTGGCAAAACTTAGACATATGTAGTAAATCAAAACCACAGCTTGAAGAAAAATGTGGGATTTTTCTTTACTTCTCTGTTCATAAGTTGCCGATAGTAGTTAGGCACTCCACGTGCATGAATCAGATCTGAATTTCTTTTCTGTATCTATATTAGAAGATGTAATGTTGCGACTAGAGGCTGCTGTAAAGTGGTCCAGAGTTCAGACTTGTGCCTCTTCATAATCTCCTTCATAATCTCCTGTGAAAGGCTCATTCTTCATGGATCATCGCAGAAGAAAATGTTTTTTCTGATGGAAAAGAAGGTGAGAGGTCCGAGGCCCCGCAGAGACGCAGCTTTGAAGTTTCAAACCAAAACATTGAAAAACTACAGTGGAGCAGAATGATTTTTCTCTAATAATAAAATTAGTTGAATTAGTTTCACTGACTTTAAATGACACATATGCAAACTAATGTGTGTTTCAACCATAGACTGTGTACAGATGGGCAATGCTGACTCGCTAGCTCAACGAATTCCAATAGAGAGGTGCTCATGGACGAAATTTTGCTCCAACTTGCTCTTGCCCCTAATTACTTTTGGGCTTGAATAATAAATCTGTGGTTTAGCATTCTCTTTGATTATTATATTGTTATCTGCTTGTAAAGCCACATATGAGCCCTAACAACTGACCAATCAGGACCCTTCTGGGACTTTAGCGAGCGTGTAGTGTGAGTGGGGGTAGATTGGCGCCTTGGTCGTTGCTACCAACAGTATTTTCATACATTTGTTCAAGCTCGCTCTAATCCTGATGCACGTCTTCCCGCTTCCTCTGTCTAAATGCTCTATTTTCAAATTTTTTACACTTTCATTTTATTACTTCACTGACAGATGGTAGATTTACTTCTAAATGAGTTTTAGGGATTGTTTTACAAATCTTTAGAAATGTGTGTCTCTAATGAGATTGCATGTTTTATGTGAAATTATAAAAGCAGATTTGATCTCCATTTTCAGCTTTAAGAAAATATAAAAGTATGTGCACCGTTTGGAGCCAAAATAAACACAAAGAAGGATGTATTTGTTCATTTAATTTCAACACTACTAAGAATGTTATTTCAAACATGGAAGAAAAGAAAGGTCTAATCATTTCAATTCACAAACATTTTTTTATCCCCAAAGGATAAAAAGTACACAGAGCAGTTGTACATAAGAAACAGATGAGTTAGAATAGACAATGTTTAACAAATATCTGCCTCAATCCATCTGACGATGTAAGAATAAGTTCCAAGTGCATGGATTTCATTTCTATTCAATTTACTTTTTTGTAAAGCCCTAAATCACACCAGCAGTCGAGGACTTTACTCAACAACAGATCTGAGAAAACAAACAGTTCAACAGGAAATAACAAACAGGAGCATGGTCCACAGAGAGAGGGATAACCACTGTCCAGAAATGTCCTCAAATGTCTACGATCATCACCGTCCTCTGACCCTCCTGCATCAGCGAGGAACGACTGAAATAGAAAACTGTGGGAAAGAAGTAAGGACCCTCTGTGAGGCCCACATTGACAGAGGGATCCGATCCCAAGGACGAACAGGCTGTAGATCCAGGACTCCAAAAATACAGATATTGCACCAGTCCCTTACGGTGGAGAGAAGAGCAGAGTGATCGAGCTGAGGATGGATGAGGATGAGGATGGATGAGGATGAGGCTGATCTTTGATACAGATCTAGAGCATGTTTACACTTTTACAAACAGCTTTGAAATTGGGACAAACCTGGAACATAACTCCAGGTTTTATGATAAACCTGATGAGAAATCAGAAATTGTATTGTTAATTTTCAATAACACAGACTACAGTTGACGTTACAGACTCAGACAAACAGCAGAAGGTTGTATAAAAAGAGCACGTACTTATTTGTAAAGGACACAGTCTAACTCAGTGTTACCAAAGGTCGGCTCAACTGTTACATTATTCATTATTAACTAACTTCTCTCTTTCTCACCTGTGGGAGATACAAGCGTTTTCCTCGGATTCCTCCTGAATGAACTTGTCGTTAGATCCCAGTACCTTTGCCTCAGACA